GAATTGTTTAATAGCAACTTTACTTACCAAAAATAAATATTAGATTGATCTTCATGAAATGGAGCATAATTTTCTTCAAACCAATTACTTATATCGATATTTTTCATCGTTAGAGATATACCACATCAAGTTATATTGAGTTAATTTCTTTACAATATCAATTACACAATTCAAAATAATAAAAAAATACTTTACTTTTAAATTGAATTTTTCTTCAATATATTTCCTTTTTTTGTTTCATCAATCATTTAAGTTACTGAATTACTTGCTATTTCTTCAGTTAGTTTGTGTTTTAATTGACTATCAGTAAGACAGTCTTCTAGTATTATCGTAATTATAAATAAAATAAAATATATTATTTGTATCATTAATTTACGCTTAGTTTAACTTTTCTAATAAAGTTAGTTTCTTCCATTGTGTAATGAAATTTTTTAAACAGGTTTTTTTTCAATATAATTTTTATTTCAAACTCTTTTTTCATTAATGACATATTTTTTAAAAAACAAAATAAATTTTCACACAAATAAATTATATATTAAAGAGAAATAAAATTAAGATCCTATTAAATTTTTATTATTACTCAATTTAGTTCACACGACAATTAGTTTTAACACAAAAAAGTAATTTTTTGGGTAAATATTAAAACACATTTAATATATATATTTATACATATTCATAATTCTGTATTGAATTAAATTTCATTTTTCAGATCGATTAATAAACATAATTTGTGACAGTGACATTGAATATTGTAGAATAATGAATGAAACTACACGACAAAATCATTCTCGAGCAATTCAACATACAATTGACTTGTACATTAATAATTTACAAGAGTCCTTGAGAAATGGAAGGTACTTATATAATTTGTTAATTTATTCAATCATTTTATATTAAATTTAAATAATTTGTTATAATATCAATTTATATATAGGATGACATTGTCAGAATATTTGTGGGCAGTAGTTGAACGCACAAATATTCGACGGGAGCTGAGACAACGTGGCTCATAATTTGGAAGTGTAGAAAACCAAAGTTAAAGAGATACCAGCAAATGTAAATTTTCTTAAATATAAATAAAAGTTATACTTATAACTTCAGGAATGATTTTTGAATTCTTTAATTGACCCTGATTATTTTATTTTAAAATAATTGAATTGAGTAGTGATTTATATTAAAATTTATTAATAAATTTATATTCATATTATATTTATATTTAAATTCAGTTAAATTAAGGTATTCATTAAAAATACTGATTTATTTTTATAAAAACTTAAGTAATAAAACTTTTTTTTTTCGTTGCACGAAAATCGTTTATGTTTATTAAAGAAGAGAATAATACTGACAGACATTATTTTTGAAGTTTTTCAACTTTTTAATAATTCAGTTTTCAAATTTTTTTCACTTGGATTACGTTATTACGCTAACATTAAGATAAAAATGTTATTATCATTAGATTATAAGCCTAAATATACTTATTTATGTAGTGGGAATTACATGACATTACATGAGCCAGAAAGAAGACTTTTTTTGTATAAGCATTTTGAATTTTTGATTGAAAACAGTGTAATTACTGTCATCTATCAGAAAACAGTGACACTAGTTGAATTTTTTTTCTACTATACCGACGCAAGATAACTTACCAGTCCTAATTTCTTAAGTTGACTGTTCAACGAAATGATAAACATTAAAAAAAGAAAAATTTTTATAATTTGATTGAATATTAAATGATTGAAAATAAAAAAAACCAATTTTAAAAGATTAAAAGAATAAAGCTTATTTTTAAAATGATCATTAGATAAAAAATCTGGGCATCATAGAATTTGATTAACAATCAGTAAGATTATACATTTAAAGATTTAAATTTAAGGCTGGGCTGAAGTCAGAAAGGCGACTGATTCCCCCTATCCAAATACATGGGATCGGGAAATTTCTAATTTCTTCGCCAATTTACAATTATTTCTATAAAATTAGGTACCAAATTACAGAGGAATTGATGCCGGACTGACGTAAACAACAATTTTTTGTATATAGTGAATATTTTTATTAAAAAAATTAGAAAGAATAATGAAAAAATTATGAATTGACTTGCCGCGCTTAAATTTCAAGATGGCGGCCACATCATTCAGATGAAAAATCACTAATTATTTCATTTTTATACGTTTTTCGCCCAAAATTCGTGTTTGCGTCAGTCCTTGCCACCTGTCTGAATGTTAGAAAAATCAATTCATAGTATAAAATTGAATAATTTAGAAATAATTAGAAATCTTGTATTCCAGATGATATTCTCCGGAAAATTAGTTTGAAAAAATTCTGATAGGTGACAGCATTATGCTCGCAGATGACCTCAGTCATCCATATTGAAAAAATGCTCAATCCGTATCCAGAACTGATGGTGCCCTGCATTTTGGCGAGTAAATTCTGTATGTGTGTGTACGGGTAATATATGTATGTGATGTAAACATAGTGTATCACTTTACAATGCCCTACACTTTGATGACTATTGCAGTTAGGATAAATAAAAATGATGATACTCATTTAACATTAATTAATATAATACCTGCAAATAACTTCAAATACATATACTCATCCATTATTATCATTTTTATTAGGTATAAATGTTAATAAGGAAGCTCAATTCCAAGTCGGCGTATCCAAGCATGTAGTATAAAAACAAATATACATTAACTCAATACCGAGATTATGCTGGCCATGTGGTTAGGGCGTCAGAGTTCTATTTTGCCGGGCAGGGTTCGATCCCAGTCATAACCAATTTTTTTTTTTCTACTTTATTCGTTAGATTAGCATGTAATTATAATATTGACATGCTATAATTAATCTTTTATAACAATTTGATTTTTTTTTCTCTTTATTCATTGAATTTATTGACGCTAAGTCGAAAAATATTTGAACAGAGCCATAAACTTTCTTTTTGTATAAATACATTGATAATAGCCTGTGTTTAACAACTTATACATCTTTACATGTATTAACAATGTTATGTTATTAACAAGTTAATCATATTATTATCAACATTGAAAAGTAGTTTAAACAATCCGTGGCGAGTTCCGGCACTTCGCTGGCAAGCTCTACTCCCACGCTCTATGCCCAAGCCTGCAGCTTATAATTTTTAAGCATATATAAATGTTATGTAATCATATAATAGCTCGGTTGTTAGCGCATCGGTGTTTCATTTTGATGGGCAGGGTTCGATTCCAGTCATGGTAAAGTTTTTTTTTTCTTTTTCATTTGTTAGATTTGCATGTAATTATAATATTAACATGCTAAAATGAATTCTTACCAACGATTTGATTTTTTTTTCTCAATTATTTATGTAATTTATCGACGCCCAGTCGGAAAACATGAACAGGGTTATAAACACTTTTCTTACTATAGCTATATGAACGTAGCTTTTTTTTAAGCAATTTAGAAATATTTAGAAGTAGTTGAAATAATCCACGGGGATTTCCGGCACTTCGCCGGCAAGCTCTATCCCCACCTTTCGTACTCAAGCCTGCATTATACAATTTATAAACATAAACATGATGTCAGAGATAATATGTTAGCTCTGTAGGTAGAACACCAAGCTTTCATTTTACCGATTAGGGTTCGATCCCACTTATAGCCAATTTTTTTTTTTCATTAAAATTTTATATAAATACAATAATTGGTTGTTTGTATAAGTTCAAAATCAATTCCTAGTGTCTTTTAAAGACAACATTTTCTAAAAAAGAGAATTCATAGTAACTCGTTCCTCACCCTCAGCTTATTTTCAGAAAAACAAGTTTTTTTTCGTAATTAATTGAAAGAATAATGTAATAAAATATATGAATTGATTTATAAGTATATAAAGTCACTTGAACAAGAAACAGAAAAAAAAATTGCCTATGACTGGGATCGAACTCTGCCCAGCAAAATAAAAGGTCGAGGTTCTAACCACTGAGCTATTATAATTTCAATTACACAAACGATGCTTGAAAATTATAAGCTACAGGCTTGGGCACAGAAAGTGGGGGTCGAGCTTGCCGGCGAAGTATCGGAACTCGCCGCGGATTGTTTAAACAATTTTTTATTGTTAATAAGTTGTTAAAAAAGGCTATTATCAATGTATTTGTACAAAAAAAGGTTAATGGCCCTGTTCAAATATTTTCTCATTTGTCATTGATTAATTGAAAAAAAAATTTTACATAAAAATTGAAATTTAAAACTCATTTTTGGCATGATAAAATTGCAATTACATGCAATTTGAATAAAAAAAAAATTTTGCCGCAATTGGAATCGAACACCGTTCGGTAAAGTAACTGGCGAACCTTCTGACTATAGAGCTAGCATATTTTCATTTGCTTTGTTTACGTTTAGATATCGTAAGCTTCAGGCTTAGTAACAGAGGGTGGGGAATGTGCTTGCTCGTCAACTGTTCGAACTCGCAGTCTTCTCTGAAAAATAAGACGGAGATAGATAGACATATTTTGTGCTCTGTCTTGCTCGGAACAGATTATTCTGAAATTTGGAAATTTCTTGGTACCCTAAGGCTCCCTTTTTGTAGTGCATCCCTGAAAATTATCATTTTTCGAACGATTTCTCTGTTACCTACTCAATTTCAATTGATATCAAGCTTCGGCTTTTCGCCGCACAACGTGAGGGCGTAAAGTCAACTCCGGGAAACTTTCTGACTTCAGCCCAGCCTTAAAAGATTGTAAAAATGCCTTTGACTGACATCTTATTGGGGACGGATGTCACGCTCCCAGCCTTAACATCGAGCTTCGGCTTTTCGACACACGAATCGAAGGTGTAAGATCAAGTTTAGGAAACTTTCTTCAACAATTTTTAAACAGTCGATATATGACTAAATGAACTTTTTCACGTTACCATGTAGAATACCATAAATTCATTTTTATCGACTACTAACAAAGAAGGTTGTAATTTAAAAAATTATGTTTCATCATAGTTTTCAAGATGTCACACTGAGTATCTTCCAATAAACTATTCCTATCCTGGTTAATCGTGAAAACCACCCCTATTCTGTTAAATCAACAGATACACCAATCCTATGTTTAAGTACAGTGGAATTTTGAAGCTATCATTGGCGAAAAAGCTCAGTAGAACTTTTAATGTGAAGGCAGACATAGACAAGCTTCAGCTTCGTAGAGAAAAGTGAAAAGAGGTTTACGAGTTGTAAAAGCGGCAATGGCGACACTTCAGGGGTTGTCGCTACGTTTACGACGCCACATGTGTAAAAAAATGTAATCCAAGAATTACTACAATCTAATCAATTAAGGTTTGTTAAATGAATAATACTAAGTAATGTTGAACTTGTTAATCTTATGCTGAGTAATTTTTTTGGTCCTTCTCGAAACAGAGAAGCATAAGAAATTTAACGAGTTGATACAAATTTTAATGCTATTTTATTCACTGAAAGCTATTGATGTAATCCAAACAATTATTATAGGTTCTCGTATTTACATAAATTGAATTACAGCCGGTGTGGAAAGGCGAAACAGATAAGGTGGAATGGAAACGATTGAAAAGGGACAATGTTACATCACGAAATGGAGCATTTGATGATAAGGCCGACCGACGAATGATAGTAATCGGTGGGCCAGAAAAACAAGAGTACTTCCTCAAGTGATGAGCGAGACTCGGCATCACCTTCGTTCCGTTTCGGATTTGTATGCAGCCGATGAAATAGAGTCATTACTTCTAGAAGAGATTAAAGATTTAGAACCACCACCTTCAGCTTATTCACGACCTGAGGATATACAAGACTTCGAAATTGGTAAAATTTTTAGATTTAGAATCTTACAACAATTATTTTAATATAGAAATTATATGTAATAATACTCTTGCCTTCAAACAAAAATATAAAATATTGCCAAATAGTTTATTAATCAAACGTTAACAAAAATATGGAGCATGAATAATTATTTTCTCTGTCATTCTAGTAATTTATATTACATTTAATTCATATTATCTTAAAGTTTGATCATTCAGTAAAGACCAAAATTAAAATATAACATTCTTCTCTAGTTAATATTTACCGTTCTAATCAAACGTAATGAATGTTCACAATTGAAGCTAAATAGAAAATGATATAAATAATTTCAAATATTTTGAGAGTAAAACGATACAAGTTTATAAATTGTATAAATTATTAATTGTGCTGGTTAAATTTTTTTAGAAAATTAATTCAAGTCATTTTATCATTATTCTTCATCATTATAATTATTTTCTATTATATTTCATTGTTCATAATTAAATTTCTTCAATGATAGTATAATCTTTAAGACAACAACTTAGTAGTCTTTTTTTCCAAACTGTATTTCATTTGATAGAAATGTCCTAAAATAAAGATAAGATAAAATTCAATCATTCAAAAATAAAATATATCTTATTTAACAAAAAAATGAAGAGTTTATATATTTTTAGTTCCATTGAAACAGTTTCATTAACTTCTAATTCTATGAAAAAATTATTTTTAAAAATTTGTTAAATTTAAAAATAGCAGGAAGTAGAACAGGGGGAGCAATTAGCTCCCAATCTTCAGAGTTGGACTCACCTGGAGTCCATTCAACGGTCCATTCGTGGGATTCACATGCCAATTACCATGGACCTTATGGACATGGAGATCACAGACATGGCTCTTCCTCCAATGCACTGCCATGGCCTCGTTCCAACCACTTGGTTCTTTATTGTGACATACAGGGTCATATTAAAACGACGACGGGTATCTTCAGACTTTTATTACTCGTAAGTTTTCATTATAACATTAATATTTATAACTTAAGGATCAATAATTATGAATAGTCTAATACGAGAATTAACAAATAATTATTTTATAAATGCAGATAACATCCGTAGCATGCTTGGCTACACTTTGCAGTGCTGGTACTGCTAATGTTAGTCTCTTTATGTTACCCCTGGTTGGAAGATTGAGATTTATCATTTTCGTAGCTGTTTTTTGTTTACTTGTCACAACTCTTTTCCTCTTCCTAGATATCTCCCACATTGTTTATATGTTTCCTCTCAATTGGGATAAATTTGTAAGTATTTTGCACAAATTATGTACTTAAACTAAATATATCAATCATTCATGGCATCTTTATTCCAGAATTTTTGGATATTTACCAGTATTGGAGTATCATACGTTATAGGATGTAGTTTACTCGGCTTATCAATATGGGAATATCATTTAAGTGGCTGGGTTCCACGACGTACACGTTCTCAACTTACTGCTGCAGCTGGTCTTGCTTTTTCTTGTGCATTTATTGCTTTTATCCTTTCGTGGATTCATGGTCGTACTGGAATTAGTTGTGAACCCCCACCTTCTCACGATAACTCCCAAAGTCAACTTTATAAACCAGTTGAATCTTCTTCGTCAGGTGTAAGTATACAGTAATTAAGTGATTTTAAAAACAATTAATCAAAGTATATAATATGAATATTATTTACAGTTGACGTTAAAAGATAAATATCCTAAACAACCACCCCCTTGGGTTGTAAAAAATCAAAGGTCAAAGAAAAATACTGACAATGAATCAAATGGAAATGGAAATTATGATAAATATAAATCTGGTCAAAGGAAAGATCATTGGGCATCAGCAAGACAACATTTTCTATCATCACAAGATGATGAAGAAATTCAAACAATTCAAAGAGAAGAAAGTGATCTTGAACGTAAGCGAAGAAGAAGAAGACATGATGGTGACAGCGCTTCTAGTGGTAATGGTGGTTTAAGTCGTAAAAGTGAAGGTATTGAATCTAAACCAAGAAAAGTACCACAAAAATTACCTCTCCAGACAATTGAAAGGCCACAGCCGCGGAAATGTAATGTATCAAAACAATCAAGCACTGGAAAAGTTCTTAGAGCAACTACCAGCAATGATCTACAAAACTATGTTGCTGCAGTGAAAGCATGGGAACTCGAAACTGGGAATAATATGAAAGATAGCGAAGCTATAAAAAAATCACTTATCGAAACTTCAATGTGGTCAGAATCGTGGCGACAACCATCTGATGATGTTCAACCTTGCTCTAGTAAAACAGCTGATTCATATACATTTGCTTAATCATTTTGAATAGAACGCTGAAACCATCTAACTCGAACGTTTTCGACATCATGTACAAAATTATTCTCGCCTTGTAAATTAAGCTGCCATCAACATATTTTGCCCAAACATTCGCTTAGTCTATAAATTATTTTCATGGACGACAGATAATTATTACGATAGCATGTATACTTAATAAAATGAATCATACGAATATGTTTGGTGAGAAGGATTAATCTTCTTTATAGGAGGTGATTATTATAATGCACAGTAGAAAAATTAAAAACGAGAACGGAACATGAAAATTAAAGCAGTAACTATTAATTGATAATAAATGTATTTTTATGCCAACACAATTTAAATCATACATAATTGGTAATTTTTTGATGTCAGTGAGTGAAAAACTATAATTATTATTGAAATCATTTATTCATGTAAATTAACTTCTTATATTCGTTCATTTTTATCCAATTATAGGAAATAAATTATTCGCGTGAATGTAGATTGTGATATGTTCAAAGAAGCATGAGATACAATAATAATATTGTGTGTCATTCAAAGATGAAATAAAATTGAAGTTGTAAAAATATAGATGGGCTCACATTGTCCAAGTGTTCTAAATGCGATTGTCGCATTATCGGGTCATATGGTGTCTTAATTGTATCATTTCGATCCGTACATATCGCGTGAAAGAAATAATAATATTCAAAGTGTGCCCAAATTCCGATCCGTTGAAAGATTCTATTTAAAATAATATCAGAGAAACATTATTTTACCACGGTTTTAATACCTTTCTACCGCCCAAGCAAATTTATATTATACTACTTGCTCTATTTGACATAAGTTTTGTTAACACGATATCACTTATTTTTTTGATGTGATTAAACTATGAAAGAAAAGATTATGTGAACAAAAAAATATTCAAACTGATAAAAAATTCTATTGAGAATTTTCTTAGGAATATTGTATTACCAACAAAGAAAAAATGTTTTTATAAAATTTCATGAGTTCACAGTAAATTTTTCACATAAAAAATTCTCATAAAACAATCTACTTTTTAAAAAAAACTTTTCTAGAATAAAAAATAAAATAAATATTTATTTATTCAGTAGTCACTTTAATTTGTCCTTAGCATAAATTCTTTAAACTATATTATTGAAAATTAAAATGTATTATTAACAAAATACCATATAAAACAAGTAATATTTTTTAGAGAAAATAATTTTTCCTCTTTGCAATAACATTAAATTTGAAAAAAAGAACTACGTCAAAAAATAAAGTAAAAATAATGAGTGTTCATCTAGAATTGTAATTTAGTTTATAAGTTAGTTATAAGTTAATCAAGTAACGTTCTATCTTTTCGCCTCAGTCCTAATATTCAAATGACTATCAATTAAAGTATATTGGCGAACTCTTAGCGAACATGAGGATGATGAAATTTTTTCACTGCCAGAAAACTATAAATGGCTTCTAATTAAGGTCAATTGATTTAGGTTCATTATTAAAAGGAATTCCTTTAAACTAAAATATCTTCATCACTTTTATTCTTTTCACTTATTCAATTAATCGAAAATAAGTTGATTGATTCAATCACTTTTTTATGTGCAAATGATAAATCACACAAAAAAAATCATGTGAATTATATCTAATTGTATAGAATAATTGTAAAAAAAAACTATCCTGAACATGAGTTTGAAGTAAAAATATATGAATAAAATATATATTTTATAATTGAAATCTTGGAAACACGAATTTCAAAAAAATTAATGCGATTTACCTCAACTATGTCTCAAATTAGAACTTCGGAAAAAACTTTATTCACTTTTAATTTGATTATTTTTTGCTATATCTCTTAACGCACAAATTAATTGATATAAGTATATACAATAAATAATGATTATTGTCGCATCATAATTACAGTAAAAGAAGAATTCAAGTATATCAATATGATAAAACCTCCTAAATATATGTTTTTTTTATATTAATAACATAATTGTCATTCCCAACATTTGTTTTGACGCATATTGAGATAAAAAATAACTGCAATTATTTTTTATAGTTTTCAATAGTTTCACTTACAATTTCTTAATCAAATCATTGTTTATACATATATGTATATCATGAGCCATTTTTCTCCATTATACTGTTATTGTATTCAAAAGAATAACTTTTAATAGTTCTCGATTCATAATGCATTGATTATTTTAGAATTGATTGAACATTTTTCCAGTTCAATTCAGCCAGTTTCAAGGATTTGGTCTAGTGACAATATTAATTAATGATTCGTCTGTATGCGAATAATTTTACGGACTGAAATATGCTCAGACCGTTTCTATTAAAAATTTTATTTAAATGAAAATTGAAAAGTTTGTCGACATGTTTTTGTATAATGAACATTTTACATTCAGCGAGCTTGAAAAATCGAATATTATATAGCTTATCTTATAAAGAGAAATTATGGAAAAACTTATAAGATTGTACTTTGTTCAATAATGACTCAAATGAACCAAGGAATTTTTATTAATAATTTAATTGTCTAATATGAATTGTTTCAATATACTATGCATTTATATATTCTTGGAAAAAAACACTTTTTTGATGAATATTCAAAAATAACAACTTATAAAAATACAATTCTGTAAAATATTTTTTTAGTAATGCATGCTATTTGTATCACCTTTCGTCAATTCGACAGTAGTATTATATAGCTTTCGTCGTTTAGCATTTGTTTTACTTTTAGATGATAAATCACAATATTGAGGAGTATCATTTGGATAGTTATATACGTAACGTGATCTATACATAGGTAAAGCATGAATGTATGGAAACTGCAATTTTAAATGAAATCATTTATGTAAAATGACCAAGTTGTCACTAGTGAGTGAAATATTTTATCAACTTTTATACCTCTTGTTGTATTTTAGAAGAAGGGTAAGAATTCCAGTCTGCTGCTCTAATACAAGGATCATTAGCATTGGAATATTGTGAATGAAACAATTTTTGACAATTTGTAGATTTATTCATTGTTTTTGCTTCAAGCTGTTGAGTAGTCCAATGAAATTGTTGTCCATAATTCGTATAAAATGAATCGAAATCTCCATAACTTTGACCAGATGAAAGCGCCAAAGAATTTGCTACAGCCACTATAATAATGAAATTAGTATTAGTATTTATACAGTTAATTTTACATGGTTCGCATTAAAAAAATTTTCTCACTTTTTGCACGTTGAATATGTAGTAATGCATCATAGTATTGTTGTTTATAAGCAGTTAATTCATTTATTGAATTAGTTTGATGTATTGAGCTACTGTTTGTAGTTTTCAATTCATTTTGAAGATTATTTTTTTTTTGTGTGAAAGGTGAATTAATTGATCTTTGATAATGAGAATAGGGGAGTTTTTCTGTTTCAATATGTATACTCATACTTGGAGTTTTATCAGTTGGTTTTTGTACAGACACATCTTGTTTTAATCGATTTAGCAAATTTTCTATACAAACTTTTAAACTTTTATTGACTGTTAATGTTTCAAGAATATTATCCGCAAATGGTAGAAAAGTTGGGAAGTTTCTCTTTTCATCAGATTCAATTTTTTTCTTTTCAAGCGAATAATCAATGTGTTCTTTTAAATTTAATTCTTCTTTCTTTAAAAAATTTTTATATTCAACATCATTTAATACTCCCGGCACTTCAATAATCTTTTGTGAAATATTACTTGATAAGTCATATTTATTAAACAGATTTTTTTCTTTTTTAGATGATTCTTGATTCTACGTAATTTAATAAAAATTCATCGCATATTAAAATAAATCATTATTCATTTATAGAATTTCATTTTTATAGTATAACTGAATAAATAATGTTTGATTATTATTCTGACCTGATAATGATTAAAATAATGGATATCCGGCACATTACAAGAAGTAATTGGCAGTCTTAAATATTTATTATCCATAGTTTTCACTAATAGACTACGACAAGGGAAACTCGATTGAACTGTACTGCAGTTGTTGACGAATAAAGGAACTTGATTCGAACTCCAGGTTTTTTGATAACTTATAGGAGGTATATACATAGAATTTGGTTGATGTTTCACAAAATAATGATGACTTGGATAGTGATTACAACCAAGATGATGTGGATATTGAATATTTTGATCATGAGTATAAACTGTCTGTGAAGGCGTTCTTAATTCTTGAAACAAATGACAATCAGATGATGATTTCTGAAAAGTATAGATTTTAATATGATGGAATTTTTATTTGTTTATAAAACTTTTGAATACCTGAGAGAACATTATGTGTTGATTAGTAACTTCTATATAGAAATAACTTCTAAAGTAATAAAATCGTTTGCTTCCACTGCTGAATTCTCAAAAATATTGTTAACTTCTTTTAATTTATCTCTTTTTTTATTACATTTGATATTACAATACAATTGCTCTTATTCTCTGATGATAAATAAGTTTATAATCATATAAATAAGGCTTTGAAAAAATAAAAGTTGATAAAATACCAATTACTCTTTAATGAACTTGTCTTCGTTAAAAGTTTTTTATTTAACCTGATACTTGACAGAAATAACTTGCAGTTGTCTTTTAACACGTAATCAAATACATAAAGTATATGATAATGAAAACATTTGAACGACGAATCGAAAACTATACAAGAACTAAATCAATTTATACAAAAGTTATATTGTTATTATCAAATAAGTTTCATTAGCAAAAATTTACCCAAAAAAACCAAGTATATTTTTCTTCTCACACGGATTGTACATTCTGTTTTTAATTAATTAAATTCAAATTTACACTCGCGTTATAGTTACTCGAAATTTATGATTTCTCATTTTTTAAGCAAAGAAAATAACACTATGTAAATAAATTATTTATTAATTGAATCCATTCTTTCAGTTGAAAATATTGAAAAATCGCTCTAAACTATATATTTCATCAATAAAAAAATTTTAACCATATGAAAAAAAAATTAAGAATTTTTTTAAAAACATTCTTTCTTTTTAAAAATTATCAAACATACAATTATCAATTAAAAATGTAGATTTTAATAAAATAATAAACATCTTTGGGTTAATTGTAAATCATGTAAAAAAAATTCTAAATATCAATTAATGAAAGTATTATTAACCAAATGACTGTATCGAGTATTTAGCAGGAAATTATTCATTGAAATTAATTCCATTTTTAAAAACAGACAATCTGCAGTTTTATGATAATCTCCAAGTGTTAGACAAATATAAAGGATTTTGGATTATTATAATGAGAAGAACGGTAAAAAACTATTAATTTTGCAGAAATGAAGTATGTTGATAATCTTTGTGATTATTACAGATTATTTATCTTGCAAAAAAATCCATATAAAAGCGAGCTTAAAAAAGAATCATCATACAGTGTAAAGATGGTTTGCACGAGAGATTCTTGTGCGTATTTAGTGCTTTTTTTAATTCTAGTTTATTCTGTCAGTGGTAAACCATCACCGAAACCTTCACCATGGGCGACTTACAAAGGAAAACCAGGTAATAAATGAATTGTATGATAAGAAAAATTCCAATTGTAATACAATTTAATAAAAAATGCCTCAACAGTTTTTTCACGATCTTTAGGTGCACCAGTAGCGCCGGGAATGGACACAATCACTGTTCCGTACATTGGAAAGAGTTCTCCATTCTTTCCCAAATTTGTAGACCCAAAAATGATGATATCTAAAAAAACTGGTTTCTTGAGCAATTTATTCGGTGGTGTTGGACCTGTTAATTATCCAATGAGTGCTGATGCAAACTTCTTTCCTTACGTAGCACCAAAGCCAAGCATTTATGCAAGAAGTGTAGAAAGTGAACCTTCACAAGATGTTTCAGATCTCAAAGAGATATTAGGAGATGATAAAAATGAAGAAAGTCAAGCTAATGAAGAAGTTAAGAGAGGTATTTTTGGACCAGGAATTTCTCCATTTGGACCAATAAGTCCTTGGTCACCTCAGTTTTCTCCAAGCTATGGTTCACCTTTTTATGGTTCCAAGTTTGAATATAATCCATCTGCTGCATCTGCTTCTCGAAAAAAACGTAGTCTCACATCGACAGTGACTAGTTCTCCTCCAACTTATCCCCCACCACCACCGGTTTATCCAGGTCTTGATCCTATTCCTGAAGAATCAGAAAGTACTTTGAAAACATCATATCCATTGACATCAGGTATGTTTGGACCATTCGGTCCCTACGAAGGTTTCAGTCCTGCTCCAATCATTGATCCTGGTATATTCATCGCCAAAAAAACGGCTTTTCTAAATAAACTTTTTTCAACCTTGGCTACTAGTACCCCTGCAACACCTCTCGATTTTCTAACACCTAAGAGTACTATTGTTCCACCAGGATTCTGGTCACCATTCGAAACTACAACAACTGAAGTTCCTGTTCCTAAAAGTACGATTGTTCCTCCAGGCTTTTGGTTACCATCTTCAGTTATTCCTAGTCCTGGAGAATATACTCAAAAAGTAGCTACATTTTTAGACAAATTATTTGAAAGTATAAAATTGAATAAAACTCAGCTAGCTTCTCCAGATAAAATTGCCAGATCTCTTGGGTTAGAATCAGATGGTACTAAAATTCAAGTTAAGCGATCAATTGAAGACCTCCAAACATTAACAGCAGTAAAGGATGCTATTGTTGACTCAATTATTACTGAACTTGCATCATTAAAAACTGAAATGGTGAATAATATGAATGATTTAATTGTGTCTCAAAAAATGGTAACAACATCAATGTCTAAGAAACCTATAAAACCGATGAAGACAGCATTTGCAGGATTTTGGGCTCCCAATGTTGATTATACTGCACCATTTAGACAAAAAATGGTTGTACTGAGTCAAATATTTGATACCCTTACTGAAATTCAAAAAAATATTACTGTAGCAGTATCAGAAGCTATCAAAAATAGTGCTCCATCGACAGAAGCTCCAGCGTACGACGACTTAGTAGATTATAAATTTCCAAACAATTACCTATTCAATGTAACTCTTCTTGATGCTGTAAAAGGAAAATTGGCTGATCTAAATGCTCCTAAAACAGATTACCAAGTACCCATGCCTTTTTGGATGGCTTATGCTAAAGGCGCAACCATAAAAAGAGATGCAGATAATGAATATAAAGATAATGTCTCCGGGACTGAATCTAGTGATAATAAAGATCAGTACAAACGAGCTGTGAAAATGTCTATGCATCAAGGTTATCAAAGTATGCCTCCAGGTACTATTGAAAGTGTTCAAGCTGGTGGAGGATCTGTTCCTGGACATCAAGGCGGTGGAATAAAATTTTTTGTAAGTTAAATGACTGGTTTTATTTAAGCTTCTATTATAATTTACTTAAACAAACTTAAAAAAATTTATAGATACATAGAAAATAGTAGGCAAAATAAGTACTTGTGTTTGTAACAATTGAATTTAATTACAGATACAAATGCCCAAGTCAAATCCATCTGGTTATTAAAAATGTTAGTCTTAATAAAAAGAAAATTTTATAAATACAGAGAAAAGATGATTTTTTATTTGTTGTAGGACTCACAATATAACAATGATGATTGGGCGAGTTGGTCTGAATACATTAATAATCAATACAAAGATCATAGACATCATCATAATCATCATTAGAAAATTATTCATTTATTAATATATTCCACTTCGGAATCCATAAGGAAAATCAAATTAAGTTCCTACAATATATATGTAAAGATTATGGATTCATTGAATAAAGTATCGGAGAAAAATTGTAAACTGCTATTTTTTTTTATAAACTTTATGATTTATCTATTTTTCAAGCCGACTGAATTATTTTGTGCATGGGTGCAATCCTGCATCAAGTGCGTTGCTTTGTGTCTTTATGATCAGCAATGCATTGCACGCAGGATAGCCCTCGTGTGCTGACCAACATCATACATCAAATTCATATTTATTATAATAGTAACAATCATTCCTAATTACAACATTTTTATTTTATCGACTATCTATTCTATTTATTATACAAATTCATTTTTATAATTGAAGAACTTGAGAAAATACTGGTGTTGATCTTGAGTATTGTAACGAAAATTATTATTTGCTTTTGTTGATTTTTCCCTTACATTAGTAGTTACTATAATATCACCTTGATTTTGTAACACGCGTTATTAATTGTTCTACCTGATTATCTATTCGCATCACCATAAAAAGTGATGTTAAAACACTTCCTACACTCACTAAAAATGATAAACCTTCAAAAATAAGTTTCGGTGCAAATATTTTCCATACCATTAAATGACGGCAATGAATGGTGGCAGCAAGCATGCAGCCAAAAGTCTAAAACACAAGAAATTATTCGTGAAAAAATTATTAGATATCTGTATTGTGAAATAAATTTTTTAAAAGTATACTTACACGAAAACCATGAATAAGTAAATATTTTCCGGCCACGGAAAATACAGCATTATGAAATATCAATTCTTTATCAAATAATATTAATTCTCCTCTCTTCATATCATTTTCGAAGCGAAACTTTTTAACCAACTTGGGTATCATGATATAAATAGTGAAGGGAACAATTACTAATAAGGGTAATGTAAAACCTAATATTATATGAGAACCAAACGTGTTTATACCTGCAACTCGAAAAAGATAATTGTTAATTAAATAAATAGTTATTATTATTTTTCATCGATATCATATATACCTATAAGAATTGCTGGTATAATATGTCCATAAAAATGCCCTCCTGTTCCAATGAAGGCAGCATCCCAATGAATAGTTGGAAAAGTTGGCTGATGTCCAGTTCCATAAAAAAAATATTCAGCAATGAGAAACCAACAAAATATTGACAGTGTAGATATTTGGAAGAACTCCACTGAAAAAAAATTGATTAAGGAGTTTTTAAACTATCCTGTATTCAAATACAATTTTTATTATGAATTATTATTCATATTTACCAATGTCATTTGCATTTCGATATCTTTCCATTGTCGTAATACCTAATACTATAATGCAAGTGACAATCATTAAGAAAACACTGGAAGCTAAAATATTTCCTAATAATAGGGCATAAAGAAGTATAAAAAAAACAGCAACCGAAATAAATGTTGCACTATAAACAGTTCCAAGTCCATATATAATAGGATTATTGTCCTGATCTTGTTCTTTTTTTATATAAAAGAGTTCTTTGACTTTGTCAAACAATTTTGGCACTATATTTTCTCCCTGATATAGATTAAATACGTCTTTCTTTTGAGGTAATAAAAATACCTGAAGTGGTTGAATAAATAATATGAGGATTGCAAATGATATAATAAAATATACTAATAACGGAATTGTATCCATTTGATAAGATGAAACGAATTTCATTTTTGCATTTTTCGGCAATTGTTGTAAAATCCAGTAACATCCTATACATACAACAATCAATCCTGGACTATATCGAACAACCGTTGTACTAAGTGAAAAGCCAGTAAGGTTGCCACAATTTTTCAGCCAAATTCTTATAACTGTAATAAGTAATGCTAAACTTACAATCGTAAGTAAAACTTTTTCAAGACCATTTGAAGTAATTGATCCAACTTTTCCTGATAATGTTGATGCACATGTTTCTTGATTTTGTTCTTCTCTACAACGCCAAAAATAACTTGACATTCGAATTGCTAAACAAACAATTACAGTCAAAATGACTAGTATTGGCTTGTATTTGTGAGGATTATTAGGCTTTTTCATTTTATTCTTTTTATCATATGAATCAGTAGAATCTTTCCAGATATTGTAATTGAATAACCAAATAATAGTAATTAACAGAAATGAAAGTACTTTGTTCTCTTCAATAACGTAACTGTTTGAAAATAAACCACAAAATGTTAAAAGTAAAATAACTCGTGTAAAGTAATTGAACTTATTTTTTTTCGAGTTATTATACCAAGTTGTGGATATTATTTCCCAGTTCTGAATGATAAAAATGACTAGAAGAATGAGAGATACAACCCCAGTTGAAAAAAATAATGTATTTATAAAATCATATGTTACTTGAAAACAATATAACATACATACTATAATTAATGTCATTCCATTAAAGAGTACGGAAATTCGTAAAAAATATGATTCAAGTATTTCAGTCATGGATTGTTCCGGAATATTATTAATTATTAAATATGCAAAAAACAAAGTACAAAACATGAGCAATAGTCCTTTTAACATTAAGTTTGAATCAAATTGTACCCAAATTTTAACACAAGCATCACGAAGAACATTTAAATAATCTTGAGAATGTTTAACAAATTCGTTAAAGCTTTCATTATTATCAACAGTCTTTACTTCTTCTGCTAGTAGTTTATATAATTCATTAAGCTCTTCAAGTTTGTTATCAGTAAATAAAAGTGATTCGGATGAATAAACGTCTATATATTTTTTCGTTTGATATATGTTCCTCCAGAGAGAATGAATAGAAAACCAGAAATCAGATCTTTTTGATGTACTGGGTATCACATCTAAAATAACAGATCCAAGATTAGAAAATGGTGTAGGACTACCTAAAATAGATGCTAGAGTGGGAACAATATCAATTTGATTTCTTATGTTATCATTGATGATATTCTTTTGCAAAGGAGTTTTTGAATACACAAACATTGCAGCTTCCACTTCATTAGGACTATCGCCACCATGATCTCCAGATTCTGTCATACCGTGATCACCAATAACAAATAATACTGTTTTTTCATCCAACACTTCGATTATTTCTTCAATTAATGAATTTGTTTCACTTAATTTTCGAGCCATTTCTGGATGATTCTGTCCATGTTTATGACCACAATGATCTACTCCTAAAGTATGCGCTATTAATAATGACCAATCTTTTTTCTGCAGCTCAAAAAATATTCTATTTCTTACTTCTCTATCCACTGTATCTAAATCCCACACGTTAAAAGAGGGTGAAGGAAATTGTCGTAAATATTTTCCAGGAAATAAATTTGTCCACGTATCATCACCCATAAATACTATTCCTTGACTTGCAAGTTGATCAATTAAATTATCTTCATTTATTTGTTCTGAAGCAAAATTCGAACTGATGTCAATAAAAGTTGGTAAAGTACCGGTAGTTAAAGCTTTTAATCTTTGCATTGTAGTTGTTGGAGGTTCTGCAATACTTTTGTATAATCGTGTTTGCATTGGATATTTTTCAAGTAATTCATGAACAATTGGAATTTTATTATGATAATAAGATGTATTAGAAATATTTTCTTGCCAATGCATAAATTCATATTTTAAAGCATCAACAACTAATAAAACCACTTTTGCTCGAGGTTCAAGACAAATCTCTGCTGCAGTTGTCGGATCTTGAAGAATCATCTCAGCATTACAAGTATCTGATAAGTAACATGGAGTACAATTGCTACGCTCCATTCGAGCAATCCGAGTCAAAAAAAAACCATTGATGAAAAGAAGTAAACCAGATATCATTAAATAAGATATCCATGTAAGAAATATAAAATAAGATATTATTTTGACCATGATTTATTGGTTATGATAACTATTTTTTTAAAAACTTTGTAAACTTCGTAACAAAATGAAATATTTTAATTTTAGTGAATTATTTTTTTATTGTAATGCCCATTTTTATATTATCAAATATGCCACATGTACATAAGTAACATTAATTGATAAATTAGACTTTTATTTAATTACTTAATGTAAACTACACACAATTCACGACTATTTTTAGAGAGTATACAGTCGTGAATCGAATCTTATGATATATAACAACAGTACACTTTTGATGAATGAACAATAACTCCGATTGCACATTTGCTCACAAATTCTTTAGTTAATAAGTCATTAAATATTGTACATTAAAAATGCAATGCATAAAAACAATACAATTATTAATTGTAAATATTAACAATTAATTGAAATGTAAATATTCACGAGAATGTAACCTCCAAAAAATTAAAATAATAATAAAAACTGTTTTACTATTGAAGAAATAAAAGATACATACTTTACCGATCTCAGAAATTGATGAAATGAAAAAAGATAAAGCATCAATGCTTTTTTTTGTTTCATGATGGACTTTGAACTTTCTAATCCGTTCTTATTATACATGGTACAGGTTATCATAGTTAACACTGTGCATTCAGATTACTTACGTTCAACAATTGTTGAACTTAGTATTGTATTCTAGTTCTCATTTAAATACTTATTTTCTAAGAAAGTACTCCAACCACAAATATAAGCTTGTTTATTGAATGTTTTTCAAATTATTAATATAATTTGTGTTTACATATAACTACTATGAATATCAAAAAAGTTTTATAAATTTAAATCAAGTCTTAAAATAAATACATATCTAAATTCTTTTTTTCGAAATATAAACTAATTTAACATAATTTCATAATGCTTTTTTATCTGCGATCAATAACGAGAATAAGTGGACTAAATTATGTCAAACAAAACTATTCTACTAGTAATAAATTAATTAGTATCATAAAAAATGATAATACAGGTAAAAACTTTAAATTTTATTATAAATGATAATAATTACGCTTGTCAACGTCGAAAATTGTCATTGATACCAGTTTTATTTCAATTTTGTCAATACTTGTTATTTACATGAAAAGTTTACGTGCTGTCTATTGGAATGTGTATCGATACTTTTAATATAATTTGTTAATTGGGAACATCAAAAATAATTTCTCTGATTGTATTTTATATTGTTTGTATTAATAAAATATTAACATATAGTTCACATATACTACTATATATTGTCATGTATTATATATGACGTACTATTGTTCAATAATGAGATTTTCAATTTGTTTAATTATGATAATATTGATTTCCATTTAAAAGCAGTAACATTTATAAATTATTTTACATTCCATTCTGTTAAAACGACCCTAGTAGTCAAATCAACATAAGACTAACAGCAGACTTACGTATGTCGGCCTAAGCTTATTATTTAAATATGTATCTGCCGTTCATCTAAAGCAGACAATCACCAAATTTTCGGCAGGAAACGTCAGACAATGAATAGCAATCTGATGTAGAACGAAAACAGATGTACGTATGTCTGACAGAAATTCTTACATTAGGACTGGCTACTAGGGTATAATTTATTTCTCGTTCTTTGTGTTATATGCAATCTAATTGATATAATTTATTTATAGATACAAGTATTATTTCAATGGAAAGAGCACCAGTGAATGGTTTGAATCTTGAATTATTACAAGAATTAAAGAATTCTCTAATAACTGCACAAAAAGATGGAAGCAAAGGTGTTATTCTGACTTCATCTCTCCCCACAATATTTTCTGGCGGTTTAGATATAATGGAAATGTATAAACCTGATATGAAACGTGCTAGACAATTTTGGGAAGAGCTTCAAGAAACCTGGTTGACTCTCTACGGTTTGGGGATTCCAACTGCGGCAGCAATTAATGTATGGCAAGGCGATTATTAAGTTATACATAATGCCTTTATTTTGAAGAAGTAATAATCACATTAACTAAAAAAGTTTCTGCATACTAATTAAAAATTTCTGTACTACTTTAATTATTGATGTATTATTTCAAGGAAAGCAACTTTTTTTAATAAAGTGCACTCTTGAATATTCATAGGTGATATTTGTTTTGTATTAATATTTGTTTCAATATTATTTAAGGAAAAATCATTCTATATAATAAATTCTTTTTTTTATGATAAATAAAGTTTAGTTCAATTAAAATCTCTTTTTAAATAATTTGCAGGGAGCTTGTCCAGCTGGTGGTTGTTTAATGGCAATGTCTTGTGAATATCGGGTGTTTGTAAACGGAAAACATACAATGGGTCTAAATGAAACAAAATTAGGTATAGTAGCACCAACATGGTTCAAAGATGTATATATTTCTACCATCGGTTATCGAAGAGCCGAATTAGCATTATTACAGTTAGTATTCCTTTCTGTTAAAAGTATTTTATTCATTACAATAGACTAATATTTACTTATTTAAATTCATTGTAGAGGAGCTCTATTTCTGCCACAGCAAGCTCTTGAGATTAATTTAGTCGATGAGATTGCGTCTAATAAAGAAGATGCTCTTACTAAATGTCAAAAATTTATCGATTCTTTTTCAAAAATTCCTGGTAAGGTATTTTTATTATTGAATCATAATATCAAACTATTTATTTCTCATAATAATTAAACTATTTATTAAATTAATTTTTTTTCGAACTAGCTATTGGAAGACGAGCAACTAAATTAAGTCTTCGAGATGGAATAATGAATAAACTGAAAAAAAATCGAGAATCAGATGTTAACGTATTTTTGAAATATCTCGAAAATCCATTTGTACAAAAAGGATTAGATTTATACATTCAATCTCTGAAAAAAAAGAACTGAACAAAAACATATTTGTCTATCGTTATATTTAAACAATTTTATATATTTTTTATCGAATATTGTAATAATTAGGACCTTAGTCTTACACAAAGTGTTCATCAATGATATTTTATTATAAAAGTATTCAATAAAACAGAAATAACTTTTTATATATTTTATCCGTCAAGGACAGCTGCAACATTCGCTGCTAGTTTATTGTTTTCGAATAAACCATGGTGTATTTGATTACGTTGAAACTGTAAAAAATGCGATATCTCTAAAATCCACTGCCGATATAACATATTTTCCGCGCTAAAAATAATATCAAAAATGGTTATTTAATGAATTTTCGAAAAATACTAACGATTATTATTTTTAATTACTTGTTCAATTCTTCTATTAAACTCTCTGACCAAAGATTAACTCGATTAATTATGGTACTTTCTCGAGTATCAATAATCTGAAAATGATTATCCAATAATTGTTGAATTTTTTTGAATAATTCAACAAAAAAAAATTTCAAAACAATCATGGTTCAAATTTAATCATAAATATCAAGTAATAATCTATTATAGGTCTACCAACTTGTAAATGGATATCATAAGATGTTGTTAAGATATTATGGAAAGTATTTAAGTCTCCACAAATGTTTACCAAGTGATTAGGAATTAACGATTCTTCTCTGATACTATTGATAAATGAAGTTACAATTCTATTTATATTGTCTCTATACTGAATCATAAAATTGCGCATTTGAGTAAATACTGTCCGAACATTATCCAAGAATACGTCTTTCATATCAGTCAAATTATTTTTGAATATTTCAATAAGATCCTAGAAGATATAAGTAATTACCAAATATGTTTAATACATTATTTATTATATAATTAGTAAAACTAAACTTCATATTGCTCATGAAGAAAGATTTGGTCTTCTAAAAGTTGAGTCCACATTTTTGATAAAAAATCGTTAAATTCATTTACAAACTCTCGAGCTTGTACAATATTATTATCATCTAAAAATGTACTTTGAACTTTTGATATCTCAGTCTTCAAGTTAGTTTTTACACATTCATCATTATCGAAGTTTTTAAATTTTCTTAATAATAAATTTCTTTCTTCTATAATGAAATCGATAATTCTACAAAAAATTAAGAATTACAAAGTTTACATGGATGAATTATTAATTTTCTATAAAAAATTATTGTAACAAAATAAATTTATAGAAATTTGCAATATTTTTGCAAAAAAGGATATGATGTGATTTTAATAAGTTAGAATATTTTACTTTACCAGATGAACAGTTGTTTGTATATGTATATGATGTGTAATAAATAAATAGTGTCAGATAATGTTTATAACGATTATATTATGCTATAAATAATGAAAAATAGTTTCAATCAACTGTAAAGTTAATTATTGAAAATAATTGATACGGCCAAAATATTGTTATTGACGATCACATATTTTCCATAAAAACTGATTTATTATAAATAATTAAAAATGGATTTTTTGGATCGGATAGATGAACGGGTCACATTCATGTCGTAAACAGAATTAACCGTGGAAGCCCCCTTTAAATTGTGCCTCGACCAATTTTAAGTGTCAAATATTGGACTTACTTTCTAGATTTTTTGCAGAGATTATTTCGAGCATTTTCAATAACTGAATTAAATTCTTTAATTTCTTCTAACCGTTGATGATGTTGATTTATTCCGAATTTATAAAGTTTATGGCAAACATTCGTAAAATTAAGTTTGAAATCTTCAAAAGCATTTAAAGTGTCATCGTTAATTGTCTTGATAATCAAACCACCTATTTGAATGTAAAATTATTGAATTGGAGATTAGAGTTTATTTAATGGTATCATATATGCTTTCGAACAAGTGATTGTAACATTACCGGTGTCATGTTGGAATAGTATATTAAAAAACTCTTCTTCATCCAAATTTTCAACAAAAGCAACAAAATCCTGAGCTGTTTTCTGTTGTTGATTGTGTATTTTATCCTGTGAAATTTTGGTCTCTAATTCTTCTTTTTCAATTCTCAGAATATCTCGTCTTTAGTAAATTTATAAAAAGTATAAATGAGAAACTGTTAGTAATTTAGCTTAAAATCTTTTTAGCTTTTCAGCAAATCATAACGTTAATGAAAAAAAGTCCATTACACTGAGTAATGAATTTCTTAAATAAAAAAAATGAATTCAAATTTAAAGTAAAACTCTATTTATAGATAATTTTATGCTTTAAAAATAAAATTATTTCAAGTATTTTATTATATTATTTTCAAAAAGAGGGTTGGAGCAACTTCAAGTTACCTATATAGTTGAGCAGCATAATCATGATCATCTTTATTTATTAATACATAAGAAAAATATATCACTTGTGGTAAAAATGCTTTGAAATATTTCTTATAATTTTCTTGTTGAATACAAGGATTTCCATTTATATTTACTGAACGTAATTTTTTAAACTTGCGAAGATAAATGACCTGACCATATGTGTTATTATAAAATTGTATAATTAAAATATAATAAATTGTTTTACATTATTAGAACGATATTGAATAGTATCTTACATGATCCCATGTTTCAATGTTATTATCAGCAATACTGAAAATAGTAAGATTTTCTAATTTATCTATTTCTTGAATTTCTATAATTTGATTTCCAGTAAGATAAAGAAGTTCCAATTTGACAAGATGATTCAAATTCTTCATAACTTTAATACGATTAAACGAAAAATCCAATTCTTTTAGTTGTAACAATCCATCCAAGTTTTCTATATTCTCAATTAAGTTGTGTGATAAGGAAAGTTTTACTAAATTTTTCATTCCCCACAAAAGATCTATTTTTCTAATTCCTGAAATGAAAGATATATTTTACTATTTTAACTATCAAGTATATTACAATCTAATAGTCAAAAATGCATATAAAATATTTGAAATAATTTTTTAGCTTAAAAAATCAAGTCTTAAATGATTGAATAAATATAAATTACCTAGAAATTCAATTTGAATATTTTCAACCTCCTCTAATTTAATGGCAGTTGTATTAATCAAATTACTGCACTTTCTATTTAAAATTTGTTTAATTATTAAGTTGATAAGAGTGTTATAAGTAATCACTCCTGCCGTCTTTTGATCCTCTTCTACCGGCACATTATTATCTATTTCTACATCATTCAATTCATTTTTATTCAGCATTATTTAAAAATTTATGTACTAATAATTAATAAAATAAAAAATAGATATTCAATTGAATTTCATGCAGTAATAGACTCGGTAACTGAGCAACCATTCGCACAGTACAGTCAATTAAGAAAAACTACTACGTTTGTTTATCAACTTCCAATAAAAAAAAAGGTTAATTTTGATTTTTGTTTTTTAACAAAAAAACTAAGAAAGGAAAAATTTCATTTTAACAGATGTAAATAAAAAATCAATCAAGAAAATGAATGGTTTATCGAATAAGCAAAATGGAGCATTCTATGAATTTATCAGTTGATGTTTGCTCAGCAAAAACATATGTACCAATCGCTAAAAATTTTCGTTATGTCGTAGAATTTGTAGTAGATTTCGTTTTTAAAATTGACATATGTAAAAGTATGAGTATAAATATAAATTATTCCTCTATTATTAAATTCGAACGTTACAAATTTGAATTCTTTTGCACTTTTTCTGTACATCCACAATAGATCGATTTTTTTAACAAACAACCTATCGATGTTGGTTTAGTATCGATGTTTTTCTGGAAACATCATCCATCCTAGAGTCCCTTGAGAAAGAGTCTGGCAAGACGACACCATATTGCTCAATTCCTGCCTATTTAGAGTTCTATGAAAACTTACGGGACTTTAGTTCTGCCTGACTCTATCTTAAGGGACTCTAATCCATCCCTATCCGTGATGATTCAATGTTTTGGACTTGAATCGATATTCCAAAAAACAAAACAATTTTTTATTTTTTTTCCGGTATCGCAAATATTCAATTTTAGTAATATTTGTCAAGTCTTATTTCTATGAAGCAGTAATTCGTTTCATGCGCGTGAGCAGGGACAATATAATTTGACATTTGAGATAGTAATGTTGACGTGACGTGTTGAAATATCTATGTTCATACAGTTTATAACATAGACGTAAATTAAATTTCCTACTCATTTTAATTAACATTAGAAATGAGTGCTAGTTATTGTTACTACCATTTCAGTTAATTATTGAATTCTATTTTTTTCTCAATAAGTTTTGTTGAAATTGGTCATCTAAATAACGTTGAACTTGATGAGTCAATATTTGTGCCACGAAACCCGTAAAATAACATAGTATTAAAGTACAATGTGCAGATAGTGAAATTAATTTTTCTATAAGTTTAAGGGATATAATTAAAATTATAAATTAACATTTTTTGCGTTGTAATATTGTGTATTTACGCCGTCGTGGTTTTAGCCTACCAGTAATTTTTTAACCACATGACTCATATGATTCAAAGGCTAGTTATTTACACTATCAATAGCATTACGTCGTAAGCGGCGTCGGAGTGATCTAAGAACTAAGAAAGGATTTAAAATTCAACTGCAAAGGTGTTAAACACCACGCGGTTTTAAAAATGTCATTTTTTGGAGTCAACGTCAACCCTTTTTCGACCCCCGTCGGTCAAAAAATAGGTAAGAATACATTCATTAATTTTTTATGCTTGACTGTTCATTTTTATAATATCTATCGTTTTATCTTTGACCGAACATATGTATAGGTGCATAATACCATAATTTAATCTGTTTCGAGTCAAGCTATTGTTTTCAATTACCTACGTTATCTTTAATATATCAATTTACATATATTTGTGCACATAGCACAATGTGTGCTATATATACATATATATGTGCATTTGTATATTCTATTAAATATGTTATTATTCTAAATTATTTCTTATTAATATAAATTCATATGAAAAACCATTAAATAACAACTTTGTTGATTTTTTTAGAGCAAGCCACAGAAAGTAGTTTACCTAGTGAAAACTGGGCTCTTAATATGGAAATATGTGATATAATAAATGAAACAGAGGATGGTCCAAGAGATGCAATAAAGGCAATTAAAAGACGTTTGAGCCAGGCTGCTGGAAAAAATTATACAGTAGTTTTGTATACTTTAACGGTTTGTAAAATTCAATTGTATTTAATTACTTATTTTTCGTTAAAAATTGCTTCAATATACATCATTTGGAGTATTAAAATTATTATAGGTACTGGAAACTTGCGTAAAAAATTGTGGTAAACGCTTCCACAGTTTAGCTTGTTCACGTGAATTTGTATTAGAACTCGTAAAAATGATAGGACCAAAAAATGAACCACCAACAGCTGTTCAAGAAAAAGTATTGAGTTTAATACAAACATGGGCTGATACGTTCCGCCATCAACCACACACCCAAGGTGTTGTTCAAGTTTATCAAGAGCTTAAAGCAAAAGGAATGCAGTTCCCTATGATTGATTTAGACACAATGGCGCCTATAATAACACCAGAACGGGTAATTATTTTTGGCATTTTAAGAAAGTAAAAATGAGGAAAAATTATGTTCATATCTTCGAAAGCATAACAGTATTCGAATATAGTTATATTGTACTTTGAATATTGTAATTATCAACTCTTCAGAATTGAAAAAATTTATTATGATAGATGAAATGCAACTTTTTTGACAAAAGCTTTTATAGTCGTTGAATATCGAGTCTATTATGTAATAGGTTAATGAAACAATAAGATTTATTATCTTATCGTAAATATGATAGCAAATTTTAATATTGTTGAAAGGGACATCTTATGGTAATGCGATGTCATACAAAAATATTTGCATCTATCATTTTTAATTTACAGCAAATATAATAAATATAAAATAAAATTGCTTAATTTTAGATTTCTTTTAATTCTTTCAGTTTATTGAACCAAGTTTCTCTTATTTTAATGTACATATTTCTATTGCTAGCTAAAACCCTATAATTACAATAATTATGACTGTGAGATAACGCACATCTGTTAGAAAATAAACAAAATTCTAATTATTTTAATTCTTAAAGTATTGCTTTTTTTAAATACTCATATATTTACTGTTTTTTTAAATCGCAAAATTTTTATTTAACACAGTTATTACTTTCTATACATGAATCCTAATTATTTGTTTCAGAGCGTGCCTGAAGTTACGAACAATGTAGTTCATGCTATTGGTAGTGACCATACTAATGTCGATGGATGTGAATCAGGAATGGTAACAGCTGCTCAGCAGCAGCAAATAACACAAGTTCAAGCCCAACCAATACAACTATCAGATCAACTTCTTGCAAAGCTTCAAAGTGAACTTGAAGTAGTTCAAGGAAATATGCGTGTACTCTCAGAATCTCTCCACTATTGCACAAGTTTAGAACAACAAGTACAAAAAAGTCAATCAGGAGATTCTCGTCCAGATCCAGCAGATTTGGAACTTATGCACCAACTTTATTTTACTTGCAAAGCAATGCAAGAACGTGTTGTTGATCTTATTGGAAAACTTGTACATGATGAAATGACTGCTGAATTATTGCGTATCAATGATGAATTGAACAATTTATTTCTTAGATATTCGCGCTACACTAAGAATAAAACTGCTGCACCAGCGAGTGCAATACTTGCCCAAACGATAGGGCATCTGCCTAATGAAGCTTCTGGAAATACTTCCAATGGACGGACCGAAAAATCGCTAATAGATCTTGAAGAAGACTCAGTTGATACTCTTCAACATCCAATGTCTGGAATGAGTAATTATTTTTATTCTATGTCAATAACATACCATCATTAACATAAAATATAATTAAATTTTCATTTTATTACTTGAACAGGCATTGCTGATGTTGATAGCCATAGTAAAACAGTCGTACATCCAAATAAACATGATGAATTATTGGAAAGTGATGAGTTTGATATGTTTGCACAGTCTCGAAATGCTACTTATGAAAGTACAAAAAACAGGTAAAATAAACGTTTATTATTTAATTTTTTATGTAATTGAAATTGATTGAATGGTAATAACTATCATCTAGAACAAAATGTATGTAAACTTAATATGCTTTATTAACTTTGTTATTAACCTTATAAAATAGTTCTCGACTATAGCATTATATGGTTTCATACACTGATAAAGCATTACAACTTTTACAAACTGTTTTCTTTGTGTGAACAAATTCACAATAAACCATCATTTTTTACTTTCACAGTGGAAGTAAATACGAAGACAATATTGAAAATTTGAGTAATACCAGCAGTCTTAGTACAGCAATTTTAAATCGTGGCTCTAATTCACAATCAATAGCTGGAGATGGTTCTATAAATACGAGGAATCCAATGGTGGGTATTTAAAAAATATATTGTAATCATAAAACATTTTGTTTTCAAAAATGTGCTTTATTGTGCAATAGCTTATTTAGTTAGAATATAATTATTGTTTTCGTCAATTACTGTTTTATATTTTATTGGTCTTATGTTAATTACAATTATTTTTCATTTGATGTATTATTTAGCCAAATCGAGAATCAGAATTCAACGAAATGGCTGCATGGCTCGATAGTACGGTAAGTGATTTTTGTTTGCTGCTTTATTGTTGCATTAAGTGTTTCTAAAAAATTAAATGTTCTTTTATTTTTTCTCCAAAAGAGATAATAATTTTGGTTTATTAATATTTTCAGACTGCAAAAGAACATGGTGATCAAGAATCTTTAACATCTTCGGAATTTGAAAGATTTCTTGCAGAACGTGCGGCTGCAGCAGAAGCTTTGCCTAATTTACCTACTGTTACAACAACATCAAGTACAACATCTACTGGAAATACGAACATTCAACGACAAATTAACAAAGATCAAGATAAATCACTCTTTGCCCTCTGAATCAATTATTTTATTAATTTGTATTATCAAAAACAGTCAACTTATAATGATATAATTATGGCTTATAATATTACAGGAAAATATTGTACTAACGGTAAAATTCTAAGATGATATAGTTAGATTTGCTGCTTTGCTTTTACGTACTTATTATTGATAAATTAATACATGAGTCAAAAAGTACATATGGCAGACCGAAAGTTTGATTATCAAAAAAAAAAAAAGTAAAAAATTATATTAGACGCTCGTAATACATTGCCTCTTAAAAGAATATTAATAATCAATTGCAATTATTATATTCAATTTATAGCTCTGGAAAAGACATTAGATTTTGGTAGAAGCATACTTCACATATTTGTCTACGTATGTTTATTGTATATAAGAATTTGCTTATTTTAGTTGTTCTATTTTATTTAAAGGGTGAATCATTGAACTATAATTAATTAAATAATTATTTTAGTACCTTATATAAAGTCTGTTATGTATAGTTTTATGGTATTCGTATATTTAAATACCAAATATTCTATCCTAATGATTGCCGTGAGAAATGAAATCATAATTAATTGAAAATATACACACACACTTGTCGTCGACTCTTTTCACCTACTTGTTAACTGGAAAAAGTAAAAATATCATTTTTATGGTTAATTTTTATTCATATTGCAGTAACTGTGTTTGAAATGAAGAAATTATTTTCAAATTTTTATTAGTTTTAATGTATAATGAGAAACATTAGTTTCTCGTAGTCCATGTTTTTTTTACTGGATCAAATACTTTGAATTTTGTTGAAATTTTTATATTATTCTTTAAAGATATATAGATATATTTGTTGAGTTATCATAGCACATTATATTGGCTTGATAATTAAAAGCTTTTGAAACTATTGATTTGTGACCATTGTGAATGTCGAATATGTTATTAACTTAATAAATGTCAAAACAAATGAAAGTATATGATTTATTCAAATTAATCATTTGAGTATAAAGTCTTTTTTTAAAGTAAAATTTTGTTTAATAAGAAATAAGTAATTCAATATTTCCAAACTAATTTATATACGTAAATATTTCAAGTAATGTGTCAATGTAGCAATGACAAAAATAGAATTTTAATTTCAAAATCTTATCTTTGTCATGAATTTAAAGCTGAATAAATAATTATGAAAATGTGTTTAATTTTACTGCTATTTTATGTTGTTAATTTTCTTGATCGCTTATGTTTACTAAAACGTTTAATTATTTAAAATTTTTATGCTTTTTATTTAGAATCTTTTTGGTAAGGTTATTATGCGATTATAAAATCTGTTATATTTTTCATCTGAAAATAAATATTTTATTAGCTCTATTTCGTTTTTTTTTAAAACAGTTGATTCATATTATTAATGAATATTCATTTATATCTTTAGTAAATGATATATATATATATATACATTCTGTAAATACTTTATCATTTCAAAAGTTCTGATGGAATCTAAAAACTTATCAGATTCGTTCCACGATTCAAATTTTGTTGCGTTTTCACGTAATACTTTTTTTCAATGATGTCGTTTGTCTAGAAGATGAATTTCCAATCAGAAAAGCCACATTCATATGAATACGAGTGCTGGTTGGATGGTATAATAGTTACAAAAGTATTCATAGAATTCATTGGAAAAATGATTTTTGTGTAGTGTTGGGCCACACACCACCAGTTACTAGACAGTCCTACTATACCACGAGTTTGATAATAATACAAGATGGTGTGCATGTAGAGGTGATGTAGATGTGACTTCCTTATATATTGTATATTGCACATGGGGTACATTGGTCTGACCATCCGTCCAAAGGAGATCAAATATCTTAAATTGAGAAAGGAAATATTATCATTCGGATGTTTTATTCTTATATCATTCTAAAACTTCAACAAATTAATAACAAGTGTTCGATATTATAGAGTTATTATTAGTGGAAAACATGTATACAGTGTCAAAAGGACCAAGTAAAATTGTTGCGAAAACACGACGAGGTATAAAATCCACATGCTAGGCATTGAGTTCAGAGTTTAATCATATACAACAAATAAACATGTAATTTTAAATTAATTTAATGATCTTTTCGTTTAAGGAATCAGTCAAAATCTTGATCGTTTAGATACTCTTCGAGAATTAACTAGAAAACCTGATCCCGCTGAAAAAGATTACAATGATGAAATCAACCGGTAATATATTTTTTATTATTATTATTATTATTTATTATTACATCATTGAACGTATTAAAGTCACTATACATTATATTTAGATAATTAATTTATAACATGTCATACTTTCATTTAGCCATGCTCCTAAACCTGTTTTCAATGTGAATGGTAAATCTAAACTTTGTTCACAAAGACATAGGATACAAGAAGTTATCACACCTCAACATGAAGAGCTTATAAAATTTGTCTACGAATGTAAGCATTAAATTTTTTATTTAAATATTTCCTGATAAATAAATTTCATCTTTTTAATAATTACTATCCTCATATGTCCAGCTTGGAGCCAAGTCGACAGTTGTGTAAGAAACGAAGTATCAGAAAAATCACATGATTCAAAAACAGGTAAATAAGAATCCTTTTTATAATAAATTTTCAAATAATTAAAAAAAATAAAGGTTAGGTTTTATTAAGAATAATTAACATACATTTAGTATTTTGTATAATTTTTATAATTACAATACATCGAGTAGAATTGATATTCATATTGTTTTTTAAATATTAAAAATAATGTTTATTTTAGGTTTAATTACCACTTTGTATTACAACGATGGTGAACCAAATGATACTCTTCAAGGTAAGCATAAACCAAATATACACATAGTACAATTTCCGTTATCAATTTTTTATTCATAAAAATCAACTTATCATTTAATAAAATAGAGATTAAGTAAAGTAACGGAAATTATACTGATAATTAAACCAAAAATTTTTATTATTTATTTAATTTTTATAGACTTCAAACCATTTGATCTGGAATCGTGGTGGGGAAAAAGATTGTTCAACAACATTACGAAATCACTTTAAAAATATTCATAAAGAATAGTGTAACGAAGAAAGAACGCAAAGAAGAAAGAACGAGCAAAAGGAAAAAAACACATTTTTACATTTATTTTGGCTTTTAAAAAAAGTGTCCGGTGAGAATCGATTATAGAGCTTGTAATTATCGCGATGAAATGAACATTGCCCGTTGTTTATAAAGTAATATATATATACGTATATATATATATACATATATATATATATATATCTATGTATAATATATATGTATACATATATACATACATATATTACTCCATATTATTAAGCACAAAGTGTTTCGTTAACTGGTATCATTCAATACAAATTTTGCTTTCACTAAAGATAATTCATCGACAAAACTGCTAATATTAGCAGAATTATTACGATGAAATTAATGCAACGATTTGTTATTCAAAAATAGAATAAATGAAAATAAAATTAGTGTACATATGAAATAGGAAAAAATTATGTGAGAAATTATATGATGTATCAGTTATCAATAATTCACTCTCGCATACCAATAGAAATAGAAAGACAATTTATTTAGTATATGATTGTAGACTGATATTTTTAAGATTGTTATATGTTCATTTAAAAATCCTCCGTACTATAATAAAGTTTCATTTATTGATGGAGGATAATCCTCATCGCGATCGTAGTCCAATTTAGTGCAATAGTGCTAACCAATTGTTTGGTCAAAATCTGACCCATAAAATCAATTGTTAATGAGTATAAATATATCTTTGTATACACTAAACTAATTTTGTTTCTAAACTTCGCGCCAATCGTTATGAATAACCTTGATACGTTAACTGGCTTTTTTCCTCTTGATAAAAGTGAAATCATAACCAATAAAACATGACTCATAACTATACTACAGTAAAAACAACCAATTAACAACGCCTTTGAGTTGATCAGTAATTTTAGATCATGATAATAATACAATAAAATAGTTTTAAAGAATTGTAGGTTATGTTATAACAATAATTTTTATAATAAATTCATCACTACAATTAGAATGTCATTAAAAAAATAAGGTAAGTAAAGTATATATAAAAAGTCATGTGACTGGCATATTGGCAATATAATCAAGATTTGTTACAGATTTTCTTATTAAAATGATAATAACTGATAAGAAATATTTACTTCTTGATGAACGGAAGGACGAGAAGGACAAATTCAATGATTATTGTCTTTTTTAATTTTAAAAATAATTATGAAATCATATCATGATGGCTGTTAAAAGTCTTCTTAATGACTATGTGATTACTCGATTGATTCATTTTTAGCATTAAATTAATAAACAAGAAGATGAACGCTGTTATTGCAATGTGTACCTTTTGTGAGATCCATGGTCCTAGAGTAATATTTACAACTCAAACATATCGTACTTTTGACAATAAAGACTCTACAAAAAAATTAAGATTTTATGGACCCAAAGAAATAATGCAACAGTGTTATCGCAGAAGATTCTCAATATCCGATGATTCCCGACGAGAATGTGATGGATGTAAAAGTCTAGGCAATGTTAAATATTTAAGCAACGAACATGAAAGCCGAACATCTTTTTTATCAGCACGTCAACCCCTTACTGAGGACATCGCTAATTTATTAGGACATGCTTGCATAAGGTTCGTACGAAAAAATACACGCCAAGTCATGGGTCAATTCAACGGAGTTTTGTCTTGGCCTTAGGAGCTTAAGCTGCGAACTTCATCTCGGAAAAGATGGCATCTGTTACTTTGGTGATGAGCATCGTGGTCATGTCTTGAGTCATGCTTTTACTTTAAAAGATGCACAGGTATTCTATTTTTTGGTAAATTTTATGTTAATCATATTTATTTATAATTTTACATCATCGACTTGTTTAAGGCTCGTGGCATCAGACGATCTTGTAGTTTCATCGTATTCATGAAAGATAAACAATATTTGCTCAATATGTGGCCTTTTTTTGTTGATAATCTGAAACAAGTGATTCGTGAATTACAAGATTTTGCTGAACGAAAATATGATGCTGATGAAGCTGAAAATCCTCAACGCGCCGCTCGATTATTATCAATAAATGGAGGGGTATCTACTAATCAAGATACATCACGAGGCACACCAAGAGGACTTTGTGAAATCACAAATGAAAAACATGTATTTATAAGAATCCATATGTGGCTAGTTTGGATTTTGAGCGCTGGAGCAAGACATCTTGTTGAAATTTGTCCCATTTCTAATGATGCAACTGAGTCATCTATACCATTTAATTATATAACACGTGATTTACAAGAAAAATTTAGTAAAGCTACAGATGCTTCATGTTCGGCATTTTTACTCAGTTATCAAGATTTTAAAGAGAATCCAGAATTTTTAAATATTTCAGAAAAGAAATGTCCAACAACTATTTTGCGCAATCTTAAACAACAGTTAACGACAGAGAAATTTAGACAATTATTATATGCAAGTTTGACAGGAATTCAAATTCTTGTTCGTGGGTCAGAAGAAGAAACGTTTGAAACGATATATGCCTTAAGTTCATTGGTACCAAGAGCTTGTCGACGAATTAAGTTACAAGCAACTGAATACATCGATGAATACAACTGCAACTTTCTTGGTGTTGATCAATCAATAGCTGTGCCTGTTCCCTGTTCCAGTGTTTGTAGATTAGATATTGTTCCTGAAGATCACAGACAAAGTGATACAAAATCCCACATTGTTAAGTGGACTGGGATACTTCCTAATAAATTACCAACACTTTTAATTAAACTAGAAAAATATTTAGACAATAAAAAACTTGACGATACCGTGGTCAAAACACAATTCATGGTTCTTCAAGAAGAGTGGGCAAATATTGCAAAAATTGTTCATACAATGAAAGGCCGCGGCCACAGAAATGATCTTAATGGTCTGATAATTAGTTTAGGTGCTGGAATGCATGATCGGAGATTACTTGACTCGTGGTCCATGGGTTTACCATCAAATCCTGCTTAATTAAATAAAAGAAATGTACATATTGATACTTTTCATCATTTATATTCATATATGGTTGTGTACTAATTATTTTTAAATAAATTATTTATTTGATATTTGATAAGAGCATTTTTATTTTCGTTTTACGAAATTATTGATCACAATACTTGCATATTTATTTCAATAAACAAATAACATATTGTAATAACAAGTAGAATTTATAATAGATAAAATAGATCAAAAATTTATACGTTAATTAATTAATTTGATTATTTAATCAAATAAAAAATAATTTCATTTGACGATTGTAAAGAGAAAAAAATTAACTATTCGTGCATGATTTTATCAATCCTTTTTAGAGAAATCTGATAAAACATCGGATGTGGCTTTGACAGCTAAAATGAAGGTAAAAAATAGTTTTAATTTGTGTTATGACAAATTCATGTTTTTGAAGTGGAAAATTAGAATAAGTTAATGTTGTTAATACTTATTAGTATTGGAATTATTACAATACTTAAAAATTATAACAAGTATATATTTTACTTTACAATCATTTTATTACTATTAAAACAATTACTAATAAAGGTATGTTGATATGAATCATACTTAAATATATATATATATATATATGACATTAATTAAATGTAAGAAATAATAGATAAATTCTTAACATAATAATTACTTCAATGACGGTAAGTAAATTGTAATAGTTATGAAAACAGGTATGCTGCTAATAAACATACTCATGTAATAAATATCATTATACCAATTAATTTTTTATGAATTAATGTATGAAAAAATAGCATTTAGATGACTTAAACTCTTTTTCCACTTCAATATTAAAATTACGAAGTCTTACCAGCTTCACGAGCCTTCGATACTAAGTTATCAAGTTCTGGTTGATATTTAATGAATTTTGGTCTTATAAAACGATGATAAAGGACTGTTGATCCATTGTATTCAACAGGAGCCATTAACCAAATGTACAGAAGACACTAATATTTTTTAATATAATTATAAATTATATCGTTGTATTAATCGGAAGTTTTGAAGAAAAAATAGTTAAATATACCTTGAATAGCCAGTAGACAGGAAACCAGCACACGATATAATCAGAGAAAAACTCAATGATAGTGAAAACTGCAAATACAACCCAATAGGTTAACCATTTAGTATCATCTTCTTTACGTGGCGATTCTAGTGCTTTCATCGAACAATACGCTGGATAAACGAATCCAATAATGTTACAAAGTAACTGTTGGCCTATACCTACAACAAGATATAGTGCCAGAAGTCCCATGGAACCTGCAAAGTTGATTAATTGATTAACATTATGATGTTTCATAAAAGACCGGTTCTTTTAATTGGTAATTAAGATCTAAATACTATGAATTGAAATAATTATATAAGAAAACTTGAAATTAAGATTGTATGAAGTATAATATTTAATTATATTATAATATCATAAAATGGTAATTAGAAAAATAACAGAATAAATAGGATTTAATGTATAACCTCACTGACCTAAAAAAATATATAGCCGATCGATGCCAGTTTTTGCTTCTGCAGTTGCAAACAATTTTGCCCACGGCTTACTTTCATCTTTTAGTGCTTTTTCTAACGAATCTTTCATTGCAACTATTCGAGCCATTCTGAGTAATATTTAGGAAATTATAAGGAAAATTTAAGTGTAAAATTTCTGCGATTCTTCCTTTACTTTTTCTGTGATGACTGTTTCAAAAGTTTAAGAAAACTACTAGCGATACCACTCGACGAAAAATTGAAATAAAAGATAATTGTGAATTCTCTCATAGTACGAATATTCGCATAAGAATTTTTCTTTTACAAATATTTAATTTATTATGTAATTTTATTAATTTCATTATGACTGAAGTTTTATACCATTTATTGATAATTCCATAACAGCCTGTAAATTGTTATTTGTGTATTTGGCTAAATTCGTATCAAGCGTTAACACCTTTCTCGCATGTGATTTTATAATACTTTTAAGTATATAAAGAATGCTGAAGAAATTATAAAAAAGGAAATGATGTGATATTTTTGAAAGAATTACTATGATTACAACTAAGGACGTAATCCTGATCCTTGTTTTTTAATAAATGTTTAAATAACTAATGCTTTCAATTTTTTTGTACATGTATAATTTTCAATAATTTTTTTTATGTCCTAGCTATTATTATTTATATAAATTTTTTTTAATTGTTGATTTTCAATGTAAGTTAATATTTATAAATTGTTTCGAATTCTATACTTTATTGATATATTTCAAGTTCTGAAGTTTGGTAAAAATTCAGTATCTATAGTCATATTATGCAATAACAAATCTACAGCCAAAAAATTTCAATTTCATGATAAAAATAAGTTTTAACAGAACTACGAATTTTCAATTAAGATCATGATAAAACTTACTTGTGTCTATTTGTGACAAAAAAATCAATGAATAATTTTTCAACAAATAGTAAGTAAAAAATAGCACCTCATTATTTGTCAATGTTCAACTTTCCAGGAGTAAGAGCTAATTTTCTGATGTTTCGAATAGTTGTTGCTGCAGCTATTTGTACTTCAGGATCATCAGATCCAACTAATCGTAATACATGCTACGAAACGTGAAAATAATTGAATAGAATAAGATTTTATCGTAGCAATTTATAATCTGTAAATATTTTTAGAAACATTACCTTTATAACTCCACAAGTATGCATTGTAATACAATTTAATGGTTCTTTACTTAAATGATAAAATGCAATGCACACTCCTTTTAACACATCTTTGTTTTTACTGTAAGCATAATTTACAAGTGGTGCAACCGCATTTAATCTTCCAAATTCATAATTATTACGTCCCCATTCACAGCAAAAAGCAATAGCTAATGTTAAATTTGCTCGTAAATATTCATCTTTCTGAAACAAAAAAAATAATCTCTCACAATTATAGTTGAATAGAATTAAATTTTAGAAGTATGTTTTAAACATCTGTAAAATTGAATATATTCATTTTACCGTATGAACAAGTTTAGCTAATTTTTTTACAACACCATGATCAGTGAGAATACCGAGATTTTCAGAATCAACGGCAATTTCTGCAATAGTAGCACAAACTGCAGCAAGTACTTCAGTTTCTTCACTATCTAAAATTGAAACAGTAAGCTCAAGACCTCCTACAAAGGCGCGCACCATTTCAGGTGAATCTTTAGCATTCTTAATGCATGGCACTAATGCTCTACATGCATTTCGTTTTACAATATTGCTAGGATGTTTCAACAAAGACCACATTAGTCGTACACCATCAAGAGCATGCGATGAATCATTAATAACATCCATACACTGCTCATCTTTAGCACATTCTTTTATGACTAAAGGTAAATTTTCAAGAAGTGGTTCGTATGTTCCACTCAATAATCTAATCTGAATTTACAATACTTCTTTAATTATTATCAATTGCTACTTAAGACAATTTTCTAAATATATTTTTTCTAAATACTAACTAGTTTTGGCAAACCGTTATTCACCCTTAGAACGTGTCTATTAGCAGGATCAACACAACATTCAGCTAACGCACCCACAACATGTGCAAGAACTTGTTCATCCTCATTTTCTTCGAGTAATGGTACAAGAGAAGCAACTAAACTATTTTGATTGAATCTTGTTATATTTTCTGGACTCATAGCACACTTCCAAATAGCTCCAGTAACTGCAGAAAGAAGGCGCTTATTTGATCGAATATATTCGCATTGAACTAAACGGCAAAGAGGGTCTAATCCACCCGATTGTCGCACCATATCTCGTGTTAATTTATTAGCTGCACACTTAAAAATAGCTAATGCACAGTTTTCCTGAAGTTTTATTCTTTCATTTTGAAAAAGGGTATCTTCCATTTTATTTACATTTTTTTGATATTCATTATCAGATAATGTATTTTCAATATTCGTATTAGTTTTGTGATTATTTGATGATGATTGCTTATCACTAAGTGATTCACTGTTGCATAAGTGACGAACAATATCCGTGATAATTCCCATTTGCTCAAATGCAAATCGAAAAACTTTCTATAAAAAAGAATGATATTGAGCGATAAATCTAACGAAAATAATTTCAATTATGCAGTTCTCGAAAATTTTAATCATTTAAAATATTGTTAATAAATTTTAACCAAGAACTGCTTGCTTTAATAAAATATCTAAAAATTAACCAACCAAATCAGCACATAATTGAATAGATCCCATAATAGGAATAATTAAATTAATATGGGTTGATTGAAGGAAACGACTCATAAAGAAAACCACCCCATGCTTTCGAAGTTCTTCTTTAATTTTAGGACTATTACTTAATGCATTGAGAACTTTAGCACAAGCTATGGCAACTGCTATATGTTGGCGTTCATTTTCATTCAAGTTTTCTGGATTTCTATGTAAAACATTGTCCGGGATATCCATCGCATCTAGCTGTAATTAAAAATAATTGATGATACTTTTTATGAATTTTAATCATTTGAATAAAATTAGAACTACTATTCTTACTATTAGAGCAATACCCGAACGAATTCGAATTTGTTTTCTGGCTTTTCGCATCATTGCTATGCTTGCCATTGTTTCTGCTGTTGATATCCGGATATCTCTTGCTGGATGCTTAAGCAGTTGAATGAGTGGCGAAACAATACCAAGATCAATAAGATATCGACGAGTTTCTGAATAATTTCCCATTTGTGATAAAACACCAAGAGAACCAAGTTGACATTTAACATCTTTAGTTTCTAAAAGGTTAACAAGAATTTCTAATCCACCCATTTCACGAATAGCACGTTGAATTGACTGTAATGATAATAATTTTAACAATAATTTCAATGTAAAAAATAAATAACAAGTTATTTCGGTGATTGCTTACTCTATTGCTTAGTTGATAATTTTTTAATAGACATAGAGCAACAGTTGTAGCTGTTTGATTTCCAGCTTTGATATATTTAATGAGTTTTTGAAGCTGCCAAAACTCAGATGCAATTTCAGGAGGATCCTCTTTAACAAAGAGTGCTTCTTCTTCATCTTCTGATTGAGATTCATCATCGGAACTTTCTTCTTCAGCTGTTTCATCGATATATTGATGGCGAGGACCAACACCAGCTATTTTAGATCCCTGCTTTGAGGAAAATAATATCAGTTCGTGTGATATAATGACTTGATTTTTATAATAATTTTGATAAAAAAATATTAGTAAAACATAATATGCTTATGATTATTTATATTTGAAAAATAAAATATTGGGCAAGCAATGAAAAAAATTTTGTCATAAATATTTATCTGTTTGCTAAATTTTGATAGTATTTTTTATTTGTATTAAACATAAATGTTAGTATTTAACCTTAATTTTTAAATACAATAAAGTTATAAATTATTTAAAAAGTTTTTAGGAACACATATTACAATTTCATGATTAGAAAAAAAATTTCATAAAATCTTTTTTAGCCTCTCAGTTATATTTTAATCATTCAATGCATTTACACTTTTAATAGAACACAATGATTGCTCCAAGTCATTTTTAAGATCAGGAAGTCTATTTTTTTTCTCATGACTAGATGATTTTTTTTTAATAGTATCTGGTATCTTCAAACTTGTCATTAGTATTAAATATTATTTTAACATGTACAATACTTTTATCTTCTGAAATATATGTGAACAATTAATTTAATATCACTTAGCCCATATCAGTAATAGAAACTAATTTTGAATAAATAATAAACTATCGATCAAACAAACGGTTTTTCTTTGTGTGTTTGTATGTGTACATATTCTGCTTATTTAACTACCTTTACTTAAACATGTAATGTTGTTAAATCGATTTCAATTGTGTAATTTTCTACGTGTGTATTTCTGTTATATTCATTATGTTGATAAAACAAATTATACTCTATTTTTATAACTGATTTATGATATCTATCGTGCAATCAAGAATTTATTTTATTTTATTACGCTTTCAATATCATATTATATGATAAAATCCTTCACTTAAGAGTAGTTCATTTAATTTATTTATGAGGTTTTTGGAATATTAATTTAATCAACACCTTCAAAATGTAAAAATAGATTTTTTATAAACAGGGTTAAAGGCTGTTAACTCAGAAAACAATTATTTAAATACATGCTCAATCAAATCTATTTAAATATACCACTATGATGTATGTCACTAGATTATTGAGGAAGAAAAATATTTCAATAATCAATATAATTACTGTTTAAATAAAAATTAATGTAACTATGAGCTAATTATAAAAATTTTCCAATTAGTATTTTGAAATCTATTGATTCCAAAATCATGCAGATAAACTAATATATTAATAATTTAATAAATAATGTGTTATGTATTTATTATTGACCTCTATCTGATCTCACGGCAGATGATGGATGCAAAGTCACTTGTTGATAAATATACCACTTTAACACAGAAGAGTTTGAATATTGTTTCATTGAGTCATCATATCCTTTTTTTAAATATTGATAATATAATTTGTAAATAAATATATCTGTGTATATATATCTATATATTTATATATTTATATATATATATATATAATTCTAAGAAATAAAAATATGCCAAATTATAGGTTGATCATATCTTTGGGTTTAGATGACAATAAAAATGAACGTAAAATGAATGATTGTACAGTACTCAATGATTAGATAAATTAATGAAATATAAAAGAAGATATTGTATTTAATATCTATATACCGTTTAATAAGAATGACATTGAAGGTGTTGAAACACATTGATGTGTGCATATATGTACATCAATAGGATGCGAATACACATTCAATATCAAGGACTCTCGAATAAATGAGTAATATAAGATGTTGAACTAATAAATTTGTAATAGTGTGAGTAAAGTATGCTCTGCAGTGCTTTTAATGGCCGCATTTTCATATCAAGCAGTTCGTTTAGTGAAAAGTATTAAAAATAAAACTGAAATAGTGGTGTTGAATTACAGAAATAGTAGTTCCATAATGGATAAAACCGTTTGTTTCACTGGAGTTCAAGACAGTCATAATGGTATTATTGTTGATTCTACTAAGGAACCGTGCTCAGCTGATCGGGTTGCCAATCGGCTCCAAAGTACGTTAAAAAGCATGTGTGGGGATGATGTACACTGATCGCGCGAAATTTGAATCAATTGTTTTGTATAAATGAAATTCAGATAAAAAACTGAAAAAAATTAAAATGTAATTTTAAATAATAAATAAAAGACTTGAATAATTGATAATAAGTTTGAATTATCAGTATTCAGAATAAAATATCGTTTTCAAAGTCAAATAAAATTAAACTAAAATATGATAAGTAAAAAAGTTATGCTGATTATTTGAATGAAGTATCATAGAATGTATGTACTTTTAACTTATAAGGATTTGATGTTTTTTTTTTGTAATAATTAAAAAATTTCAAAACAGTATTTATATTTGAATTAATTTCTTTTCATTACTAATTAGTAGTAAAAAGTAGTTAAATAATTACTTTGATTTGTACTTGTTTTATAATAAAGTATGTGTTATTTTTTCAGCATCTATTATGGAATGGATAAATGCAAATAGAAAAACCATATGGTTTAGGGTGGATCGATTAAATGCAGACTGGATTCCACACTTAGTAAAAGAGGGATTTTATTTTCATCATGCCAAAGAAGAATACGTTGTTTTATATCGATGCTTGACGTCTGATAAGAATATTCCTCCATATGCTCACACCAATATTGGTATTGGAGCGTTTGTAATAAATAAAAAAACTAATGAGGTATTAATAATTAAAGAAAAACATGCGAATCAAGCTCCCAATCAAATTAAATGGAAACTTCCAGGTGGTTATGTTGAACCAGGTATGAACAATTTTAAAAGTTATGTAGCTTATTAATAAATGTAGAAAAAAAACATTATTAATATTATTGGAAAATAAATTAATTAAAAAAATTAATATTCCAGGTGAAACACTTCCGGAAGCAATTGAAAGAGAAGTACAAGAAGAAACTGGAATAATAGCTAAATTTAAATCATTAGTAGGATTTAGACATGCTCATGGTTATGCATTTGGATGCAGTGATGTTTACTTCATTGCTCGATTAGAACCAGAAACATTCGAGATAAAGAATTGTAGTCAAGAAATTTCAGAATGCACATGGATGAAGGTACAGTTTATGTATTATTTTGGTACAAACTTATGATTGATTCTTATTTTGAAGCATTCTGATTAATAAATAATAAGTATCTTTTATTGTTTTATATAGCTTGATGACTATGCACAGGATCCGAATGTTCATAAATTAAATCGTTTTATTGCTAAAAAAATGATTGAGTGCATGGATAAACACATAGAAATTGGATTAATTCATGGTCAACGTCCAAATACTACAGAACCAATTTGGATTTATGCAATAACCCATGAAAATGAAAAAAATTTACCCATTAATAATTAACAATACATTGAAATCAAATTAAATTACAATTAAAAGTATGTATATGTATATTTATATAAATTCAATAGAAATCATGTACGGAATTAAAAGGATCTTGTAAGAGATACTCCAAAAGATAATATAAAATTAAATACTTACTTATTTTAAATAGTATTTTGATATAATGATAATGCTTTAATTAAGAAAAATAGTGATTGATAAATATTTTTAGAGAATAATAATTTAGGAATGGAGTCTTGTGGAAAAATAAAGATTTAATATACATATATATTTTGTATAGTTTATTTAATTTTAGTATCGAATGATATTCAAAGTAATGAGAGCTGCGAAGGATATCGTTTCTATTGTTAAACATTATTTTTTACATTTTAGTTCGTTTTGATAACATTAATAAGTGACTAGGTAGTGAAAACGCAGCCTTATTTTATAAAGAAATCATTATAAAACAAACACCACAATATATTGATGCTAGATATGTCGTGTAGGCACATCGTTGGTTTTTTTCATTCAACTATGGTATCTAATGAATCATTATTTAATATTAACGAATCTTAAATTAGTATTTACAGCAAAGGAAATTCATTCAACTTAAATATACCTTTTTTGTGAAAAAATATCAATTTTATCTGAATACTTGTAAAGATGACATTTTCATTAAATTTCAAATTTTTTTTCCATTCTGATTTTTATATCTAAAGTTACGAATTCTCATTTATTCGAAAATAATGTTCATTAAATTATAAAACTATTAAAGCATATCAACTGAATACAATCTCTGTCATATAAAAAAATTAAAAGACTTTATTAGCAGTAAAACAATTTGACTAAAATTGAGAGAAAAGAAATTACTAAAAGCTCAATATGAGCCATCGTCACGTAACTACATTTGAAATCAACCTGAGAATTCACTTTACCGATGATGCATTTTTTTTTTTTAACAAATACTATACAAGTTTATAATGACAAATAAATTCACAGCAAATTCAATTTCATTTTATCACTGAATATCAAACTGAATATCAAACGTCATCGAGATGCATCATTGGTCGATTAAAAACATACCACTCCCGCGTATTTCTGCAGACGTGACATGTAAAAAATTTTGGATAGCTCTCTCACGTACATAATGTTTTGACAATTCACATACACATCTTTTGAATTAATATATTACCAGAATACAAGTGGTATGCGCTTATTGCTTTGTACATCTATATACAAACGATAAAAGGACTGCTAGTTGTACAAAGTAAATTATTTGGACACAAATGAGTAATGATGTTTGTATTTCAATCAATGTGTAATAGTAAACGGGTAATTCCACATGAAAAACAGAATCATATTATTTTTATTTCAATACTATTGTTTCAATTATTGAATTAAATCATACAAAAATATATAGGAAAATATTTATCTCACTCTATTTTATAAACTATTATTTGACTGAAACTTTATGAAGTGATGTTGTTAATATGTATGGAATTACCCAATAGTTTTTAAAATAAAAAATAAAATAATAATATTATATAAATAATTATTATAATCATAGTAATAATTGAGAAATATTATATAAATTAAAAATTAAATCTAAATATATAAGACTGCAGTCCTTTATAATTCAAGCATCCAAATAATACCAGTAGTTCGTAATTCAGTTTTTTAATTTTAATCTATATAATTGTGTAAAACGTACACAAAAGCTACGAGGTAACTCGTTTTGTCGTACATCTTTACATCTTCAGTCTCATTGAGTTCTTTTGAACATATGTCGCCACATGTAACGTTTTCGCTTCCATAAAAAAATTTACATAGTTTTAATCTCAATTTCTGTAATAATAATCTTTATTTGTGCATAGCTTAAACGTTTTTTGTCGACAGCGGCTCGTGGAGAAGGCACTATTTTTTAATTTACATCAATTTTCATAATTTTATCAAGACAATTTAATTGTGGTTCCTGAGTGTAAAATTATGTTCATGATTTAACAATTAAGAGCCAGTAGAAATAAAACTCGAGAAGGTAACGAATCGATATGTGGAACCAGCGGATGCTAGAGGCTTGTCCTTTTTCAATGTCTTTTTCATCTCTTCTTTCATCTTCCACCGAATACGGCGTGTAACGCTCACCTAAAGGGCGTGCCTCAAGTCCCTCGTGGTTACGAATAGCAGCACACATATCTTTTTTACTCTTTTTCGTCTCACGAGACCATTGAACTCTTCATTCTCTCCCTTTTTTTCTCTCATTCTATCTCACATACATTCTTTTACTTTTTTTCTACATCTTCTGCAATGTTTTTTTTTTTCTCTCCTCGGCCAAAAAAGTATTCATCCTTTTCATATCCAAACTGTCATTCTTCTTATAGTATAACTATCTTACAATAAGGAAAGCATTGATTACTGAGTGGAAGGCTTCCATAGATAAAATGTGATGATCCAAGTCTGATAGACGGGCTCAGTCACCAGGTCAATAAACGTAAATTGTTTTCAGCTGATCCTTTAGTTCAGGAGGAATGGCACATGTATCTGTATTCTTCTTTTTTACTAGCCGACGCCAGCGTCCACCGAGGTTCTTACGAATGCCTTTGGCAAATCCAGGCCGATCCGACTCCAAACCGTGTACAAGCGTATTCTAAAAAAAAAAAAAAACAATATTAATAATATAGTTGGTTCAATCAGTATAAAAATAGAATAATATTATGGTGTTGTAAATATTCTAGGAATTGAGGAAATTTCTTTTCTTTATTTTATCAACCTTTTGAAGGATAAATCTCATTTCTCACACTACTATCGGTTTATTTTTCTCCCCAATTTTTTATATGTATATACGATAAAATATTTAAATCTCACCAACATCTGAAGGGTGCTTGTCTTTCATACACAAACCTAGTATTTTACGAATCTACCATTGCTATAAGTCGTATATGAAATCACCCTACTATTCACTATATCCATCAACTTCCCTAGACGAGACGACGTCGTTTTAAGATCGATAAAACTCCCTCGGCATCGTTGGGTTTTGGTCATTGAACTCACCAGAAACTTGAGAATATGCTGAATTTTTCATATTGAAAGTAAAAATGGCACTAGATTTATTTGTAATATATACTTTTCTGCAATTATATAGGTATATTGACGTATTTACTATTTTAATTATACGCATTTTAATTCACCTTAATGTTTGTTTAATCAAAATTATGCTCATCACACTAAGTGACTTAAAATCGATCTTATTTATTTATGTTTTCAAAACAATATGAATTTATTTGAACTCAAATATTTTTATATTAATTCATAATGTTGAATTTTTATAATTTTATTTGATTTGAGGCAAACTAATAAGGTGAAAATTAATTATTTAAATTCTTCATTAAACTTTCTTTTCATCCATTCATTATATCAAACCTTGAAAATAAATTATTAGACTTTTAAAATATTCATTTATTAATACCGTTACCGGGATTCAATACGGAAGTGAAAATGACATAGACTTTGAAGTCAGAACAATCTCGTGATTGGAATTGATCATGGTTTGCATGTCCTGATACCTTGTTACGTTTTTCGTATGTAAAATTTTCCTAATTTCGGCAATATATTTCTTACTAGACTGTTTTAAAGGAATGATGTCGATATGTGGGCAAAATTTACGAGGCTGAGCAGATATTTTAACGCTTCCTAAGGCCTTTCTCTACATAAAAGCAGGTCTTACTCTTTGCTATAACAAGTAAAAGGCGGAGCGGAATTTATCTGGGTGTGATGCCAAAGTAAAACGAGATAAAGGTTGAGTAATGTAAGTATATAATATAAGTAGAATAGGAGAGAATATATTGTATAGTGAGTATAAGGTAGAGAGAGAGAAGGTGGTGCAGCTGCCGCGTTTGGGGTCCTGTCGGTTAGTAACTGTCTTCGTTGCTGGGTATCCGCACGCCCACCCACACCAAATTTAGCGTTGTGTCGAGGGCGACTTGGCACGAAAGTGGCCACGCACCGCCGTTTATAGTGGCAACAGTTCTATTCCCCGTGCTCGTGACCGGGATACAAGTGTCCATGGCAAGGAGCCAATTCCTTGGACTTTGAAATCGTCGATGGCGACATGCTGACGAGACAACGAACAGACTGTTCGATTCATTTCTTTTGAGTAATTTTTAGCCATACGGAAAAAGATGAGCGGTCATGGTCACCAAGAAATTGACACAAAGAAATAACTAATGTCATTTTCAACTACGGATAAATTTTATTGTTATACATAGATCTTTTCCATAATTTAAAAAAAAAATTGTTTCTTACAGTAGTTGAGAATTTTTAAATAGATAATCTTTCATCATTCTAAAATTATCGTGGTTGAGTAAAAGTTCATTTGAATATATCGTCGAGGACAGTGAAAATAAAGTATTTGCTAAACGTATGGTAGCTGCGTATTATTATTGAATTTTTTTTTGACCACAGTTATAATCGTGTTTTGAAATGCGAATATAGGAGTTAATATGAAAATATTGTAGACAAAAAAAGTTTAAAATAAATCATCTCTCTCAAGTTCAGATAATGTATCTTTTCATTTAATTGTGCAAAATGTTAATTAGTATTTTTACATTATGTAAGAGACAAAAATATTATCAACGAGTTGTATAAAGATTTATTAATAATCTTCTATAAATAAATCGCTTAAAAAAATATTAATATATATTTTTATCTGTTATCTATTAGTAATGAAATGAAAATTTTTTTTAATTTTTAGCTATTAAATTATTATAAAAACATTCATGTTTCTCGTAAAAAGAATGAAAAAAAAAACTACTCAAGTTTTAACATAAAAGAAAAAAATAATTCATTTATCACAAATGAATGTTTTTCCTGAAATTCACATCAAAATAAGCAATAGTTTTAAAACATTACGCATCTTCCTGAGAAATATACTACTCCGAGTACACTATACTGTTTCGACGTCAAGTCAGTTCGAAAAATATTGTTCCGGAATAAATCGAAACCAAGTCAACCTATTTAGCTAACAAGTAGAGCATGGAATAGTGAAAAGATAACAATAGTAATGCTTGCATGATAGATTGAATAATGTTAAAGTGCATCATTCAAGTAAAGTAGCAGTTCTTTTTTAGAATATATTTTTAAACTCGACAATCTCGCCAATTGTTTATAATTTTTTTCCATCTCAACATTCTCACTATCTATTATAAATTACGCTACTCAATGTATGATTAAGATTCATTTGTTATATTATATTAATATACTTTCATAAACCAACTTACATGGTTTTAGCCTTGATCAATTAATATTGAAAATGAATCTACAACTTATATTTTCAACACTTGTAAAGCTTATGAAAATGTCTAATGAAATTAGTGAGAAACGATGAGTTTAATTAGTGGATTTAACAAGTTTTTATTTTGTTAGAACTATATACTTGATAAAAATAAACGATGAATCAGAGACGGAAAATTTTTTTTATTTAAAAAGCTTATTTTTTTTATTATAATAAACGATAAAATTCAGGGAATTTTAAGATATTTTGTGAAAAGATTTCGATTCAAAATTACCAAGTGATCAATTTTTCTGTATTATCTAAATCACTTTAATACTTTTCCTCAATATAAAAAAATGACATTCTACGAAAATCACATTAGTTGGAAATGATATGTCAGGTTTGTCCACGACTTCGGTTAAATGTATGATGAAAGTAAACTTAACTTACAGATTTAAAACAAGAGAAGTAAATGTTTTTAAGTGAGAGAGTGACGCGTGTAACTCCGAAAATGTGTGATGTTTAATGTTTTGTATTTACACTTGATATACTTGGCGTATCACTCGTCTTATTAACATGCTTTTACCCTCACTACTGTTTTTATCATATAATATTGAATTTTTGTGACTATGTAAAATACTAGAACCGTTTCATTTCAATTCTATTCCTAGTGCTACTATACATGTTTTAATAGATGTTATAAGTAAACAAATCAAACAGCTTCTGATGAAAAGATTGAAGGTTTTTTTTTCCTGCGAACAAGTTTCCTCAAAGTCCAAAACATTTTCAAAGTATTTCCAGTACAGTGTAAGATCATTTCAAGCTTTTTATTTTAATTCAATATTTAAAATTTAGACTTGAAACTAAGTTGTTTTAAACGTACACTGTACTGAACAAAGATATTGAAATAATGATAATAATAATAAATAAATACCTGGTCATTGTACAGCGCATATTGAGGCGGAGGCGTACGTGGTGGTGGATAAGGTGGTGGAAATTGCCAAACGAATTGTTCAGTAGTTTCCGTAATAACTGTAGTACTGCCATCAGTGATACCATTCATTTCTGTAGCTGTTATTGTAGCTGCAGGATTAACAATGCCATTGTTACGGATATCCTGACTCAACATTTGATCAGTGGTTGTTGCTGAAATGTTGGTAGTAGCCGAAGTAGCTGTTTGTACCACTGCTGGCTGTTCTGCATTGACTTGGTCATTGGCATGGTCCTCCCTCTTCCGTAGTTTGCTACGAACAAGTCGGATGGCAATCATTGTTCCGTTGCTCCCGACCATTTTGCGGTAAATGCGCGAAAACTTTTTTGCAAGTTTGGATGGAATTTTCAGGCCGTTGTAGCGAATCCTCGATTAACTCGAGGACTCAGACACTCGAATAGAAACAAATAATTGGACTCTTATTGAATTTAAAGGAGATGTTTCACGAGAAGAGAGTTAATGAGTTCTCACGCTCTTGAGAACTGAATCGTTGAAGTCTAAGCTTCTGATTCCATAATAGAATAACCACTCAGAATAAAGTTAAATCAGGATAACAGTTTAATTATTAACTTTCATTCAAGACTTTTGTTAATACCACACTCTAAAATCACTTGGCTAACAATCACGTTATTACATAAATATCACGCTATATTCACTAAGGTCAAGCTATTATGATATTTATTTAAGTATTCATTCAGATTATCCGAGTTCCTTGTCAGTTTCACGAACTTTGAAAATACTCTCCGAATGATCTTGACTAGTTTTAATAATCCTTGGTCTATCTTGGGAACAGTTGTGAGATACAAAGAACTGCACACTATTTTAGTTGTGGTTTTTTGTATTACTTAACAACAACTTAATGAAATATTAATTAAATAAATTGAACTAAGTCGCGTCGAAAGTAAATACCGATAATTAATCTTCTGCCCTCACACATTAAATGTGAGCTGTAACAAATTTAACACGGTAGTTATCAACGTCGACTAATGCCGTATAGGCATTCATCGCCTGCACTGACGTGACTGCGTCTAAACTCCGACTCTCTGGCAACTGGCTCTTTATATTCTCACTACTGACGTCACAACTCTACTTATGTTCCATTGGCTGAAGCAATAAGTTTACGGCCAATGAGTATGCGCGCGCAACCCAATGCCTTTTTGTTCAAATGGTCAAAAGTTTTTCGCCTCAGCAACGCTTATACGTATTATATTATGTATGCTTTTTCTGCATTTTATAGATATTACTTCAATTTATCGTATGATGATTAATGCGCAATTTACATTCAATTAAATATTTAAAATACTACCGATATTTATAAAATTTAAATAAAAGTTGTGGTTTTTGGAGTTTACGAAGTAAAGAAAAGTTACATGATAATTTCCATTCACACGATGGATGTTCTCTTGAATTGCTTTTTTATTTGTTTGGGTTAAATGTGAGACGCCAGATAGCCTGGATTTACACGAAGAAGGTTCTCATATTTTGCGGCGGCAACGATGCAAAACTGAACTTTGTTAAAATTTTTTTTTTTAATTCCTATGAATTCTTGACTTAAACACAAGATGATTTTCAGAAATTTTTCCGGAATATTCAAGTGAAGGTATATGTATATTGAAGCTAGAGTAGTACGTAATAGACTATAGACATGCACATTAAATTTATTTTAGAGTGAATATCTATTAAGTGCTTGGAGTATAATATAAAATAATCTTCTTAATGAAAGTAATGAACTTGTAATTTTTAACATACTATTTTTAAGGCTAAATAATGTAGTTGAGAATACTTGTATAATAACCGGACGTGAGATACATTTCACAAGGTGTAATCTATATTTGCGACGCACCAATAACTCGTTTTTTATTCTATTTAATCGTCCCGTAATTTAACCAGAGTTGTTGCTTCGAAAATAGACTTCATCATCGTTTCAAGTATTACTTTATTTTGATATAATTAATACTTAACGATATTGTTTCTCTAACAATAATAGATTTAATGATTAAAAGTATCAGATGAATTTTGCATAACATTTTATAAATCCGTGAAAAATTCTCAGACAATTATTATGTTTAGAGGAAACTTGAGTTTCCTCTAATGAATTCATTATGAAAACTTTCAACGAAGAATAGATAGAACATTAAATTATAAGAAATTACTAACTTATTCAAACAAAAAAGAATTCTCATTAGAAAATGACAAGGACCTTATCATATTCAAATTGGATTTATTTTCGTCGTTATTTCTCATTTTCCAATTTTACATGATAATATTTAGAAGGAGTTATTATGTTGTGTATACATCATTAGTTTTAACATAACGTAATCATTTTTTTTTGATAAATAACGAAAGAAATGTTTTTCAAAATTACTTTCAATATTTGAATACATAGTGTAAAGTTAATAAAACAGACATGTATTATTATTTTTGTTTTATCTATACATAATATATATGATTACCTGAGGGATTCATTGCCTGTTCTATTTTAGTATTCGTAAATGTATAATATACTAAGGGTAGGAATTCCCATTAGGCTGGATAAACCCTCTTAACAGTCAGTTTATGACATTACCTCTTGGTCACCAAAGGAAATAATAACTGCGACGTCGCTAAAGTACTATTACAAATATAGACGTCGACAATAACTCTAATAGCTGTCGGGGGTTATTTTTAGAAAAAATAAATTGAAATAAGAAATATTTACTATAGCTTAAAATATACCTGCTGACCTTAGTATAGTATATTTGTTTTTGACCCAAAAAAGTAAAACAATTCATAAAATCGATCGTGCTATGAATTTTTTTCTTTTTATATTTAATTAAGGTACAACTTTGATATTACATCAACCATTTCTACTGAAATTTATAATACATCATTGCTAATTATATCTTACATTTTCATTATCATTACGCTGCCAATTAATGATATACTTTTATCAGCTATTATCAAAAAATCGATCTCATCATCATTGTGACTCATGGCATTGATTTTGAAGCTTCTATCCTCATTCATTAAATACAATGCTGAAAAATATTGCACTTTTAATGACTAAATATTAGTAGACTTGAAATTTAAAAATTACTTTATTGTCCATTATATTCGGAGGACGGGGAGTACATAAAAAGGATGATCCAGGTAGTAAGGGTCTGTGGTAGAATATCCGGTCTAAGAAGTAAGTACATAAGTTACCTGTTATGAAATACAATAAAGTAATCTGTGCATCCTTTTTTCAGAATTAGCTATTGTAATTATTGAATTTAGTGTTGGGAACATCCTGCACATTATTCGCGTGGGTCATCAAAGATTATAGTGTAATCTTTGTTTGTCTACTTAAAGTCTGAAAATATTATATTATTGTTTCTAACAATTTAGTCCCTGAATCGTAGTTTTGAAACTTTGTAGAAATGTATTATGTGTGATGAGATTTGTGCAGAACACCGTTATCTTGCTAGAGAATGAAAAATGGAATTTTGATGAGCCCTTAAACAATTTATCTGCTTTTAGACATAAAATTGTATGATGATATAGTAAACTTCCATTGAGCAGAACTTTCACTGTAAAAGAAATAGAAAATTTTGTACTTATTACAATTTGTACTTATTATAGTAAACTTTCCTGAAGGACTATGAGAATTTTTGTAGATTATTTGAACTCAATCTCTAGATTGTAGTGTCTAGGAAAAGCATAGAGGTTATAATTCAAAGTGATCAAATCTTTAAAGAAGTTTAACGGAATAAATAACATATTTACGTAGAATAAATTAGGTAGTGTGCAATAATATTTATTACTTTCGTAAAAATTTATTTCTAATAAAATAAAGTTCATTTAAATAAATCAAATTGTTTATTTTGAATTTTTTTTTAATGGTAGAAAATAAGTTGAATTTGTTGAACTTAGCACAATTGTATTCAAGAGTTGATTTTGAATTGATTTGTTTTTTCTTGTACGATTTCATAGCATAAAACAAGTAAGCATTCATTAAGGAAAAAATAATTTTAAGTCAACACGTTGTCAACTACTTGGTATGATTGTATCAAAGTGCAATTCACTTGATTGGAATCTTTATTTAATGAATTCATAATTGAAATAAACAATACTCTCTATGATTATAAAAAAAGCGTTCAGAATAAATATCGATAATAACATGAAACTATGATACACATAAACCATCTATTATTGGTTTAAAAAACAACATTGTTTATCAGAATGAAAAATAGAAAAAAATCTCTAATCTTAAATGATGCTGGTATATCAATGAATTATTATAATTTTGTTGTAATTATCACGGAATAAAAACTGCAATCAAATGACGTAGCAAAAAATATTTTGTTTTATTTAGGTGGATTTTTACTAAAATAAAATACTTCATTTCTAGTATTCCTGCGTAAAGTTGAATTATACATATATTTTATCGATGAATTAATAAAGCAATTTATACCTATATTTCTCATATTGCTCGGTATAAAGTAAAAAAATCAATTAGTATCTGTAAATTTAGAGGGTGTTAACATAACGTAGTTTAAATATGTTATATGTTGAATTGTTATACATAAATTATACAACTTCATAGCCATTTTTTCCGCCCTTCTGATCGAAAATCTATAGTTTGTTTATGAAATTTAGCATCGAAAACATGTCTGAACATTTTGTGTCATCAATGCCGTTCAGTTGTTTAAAGATTATTCATATGATTCTACTATTCCAAAATAACACAGCATTAATGACCCCAAGTGTATATTCATTGTAGAACAGCTCGGATTTGCAGTGTATGAAGACAATTTCTTGTAACTCCGACAATTATTTCACTTTCAAGTTATATTTTAGTTCTGCGGTGCACAAAATACAACTTTCCTGAAATGGAGCGTGGAAAAATTGTGTTACTATTTTAATTTTTATCTTTAAATAAAAAATACTTTAAACTCTAAAGATGACCTATAAAACATGCGACACGAAAATTAAAATCGATTTTGTAATTAACAGCTAAAAGTTTAAAGGTAAGTTGTTTGATATTTATTCATAACAGAATTTACATCAATGAGAATTCACCTTTTCTTAAGTTGTTAAAATATCAATAAGTACAGTGAACTTTTCTTTTTTATACTCGTTTAAAAATAGTTAAACTACAATAATAAGTTTGGAAATGCATTACAGCAAATAAGCAGTAAAGTGTGAGAGGTAATTTCCGGAGTATTAAGAAAAAATTTTCTTCCTTGAGTTGCATGATATTGATCAAGATGACGTATACTCTGATTATTTATAGCGATCGTTCATTATGAAGAGAGAGAGAGAGAGAGATTATGATCTTATATTTTATTAGTAGAATATTTATAGTCTATATTTCAAGTGTTTAATTCACTGAAACTGGTGATTAATATTCGATTTTTCAGCTTCTTGATTTTACGTCATTAATATATAGATAGTTCAATATTATCACTTCCTCAAAAATTGGTTGGATTATCTTGAAAACTTCATTCTAAGAATTATTGTTGGAATTACCAAAGACAAGGCTTGATTCCCAGATGTGAATTAACAGAAACATTTCTATGTAAATTTACATTTGTATATGTTTGTTTTTGTAATTAATTAATTCATCTTGTTCGTAAATGAAATGGTTCTTTTTTTTACATTAAATAGTATCACTTGTAGTACGAATAAAAAAAGGAATTATATACTATATATAAGTAATATTGTTTCAACAGAAATAGTATGAGATATAGTAAAGATAACAAATAGACATGTTACTTTGGTAGTCTCGTGGTGTCAAAGCTGTCAAAGAAAAAGGTGGAACACATCGATGCGTGTCTTCAATTCGAACAGCTGGATATAGACTTTGTAAAACAATGTTTGTTCCAGATTTTTCAAGTATTTATATATTTTTCATGGAATATAAACATTTTTTAGAAATATTTATTAATTGATTGTTTCAATTTTGAAATTTTTCATACATGAGTGAGTACTTTTTTTGAATTATTGTAGTGGGTATATGAAAGATTAACAAGAAAAAGATTCTTCTGGTGAGTATTAGATTTGTTATGATTCTAGGGAATTTATTTTTCCTTCAATTATTTTTTTTCTTTCCTCAAGAAGTGTATGAATTATTCATGAATGTTATTCATTAGTTAATTTGTCCGTCAAGTTTCATGACGTTTTTTATTTTAATTCATAATAAGCTGAATCTAACGAGAGACGATCGTATTAATTTTTAAGAAAAATATTTTGATTCTTTATTATAAACCGTAGATATAATGTGTTTAAAAATAATTCTTTAAAGTTTCTGTTTATATTTAGTCTTGATTTAAATTCTCTAGATAAACAATACATGCTACTATCAATTCATCCTTGAGTGTGATGATTGTCAATTCGCTGTTTCTCAGTTGCGGACGAAAAGCAATAAACCGTCTCAGTTGCGGACGGGGTCCATCCAGGTTGCGATCATTGTCTTAAATGTCATCTCCGCCTACTAGGTACAAAAATCTAAAAATAGGGAGGAGTAGGTAAAATAAGTAATGCTTATTGGTTCGAAGATTACTTGCCAATTTCTACAATTTTGTAGAAACGTCTCACTTTCTGTAAGACCCCCTTCCCCCAAAAGTGTTTGAGAGCAGAATCAACTTGCCAATTTCTACAATTTTGTAGGCACGGCTAATTCTTTACTCTGTTTTGGTACCTGACTATTTTCGAATTGACCCCGTCTGCAATTGAGACTACTATGGTCAAGACCCTGTCCGCAACTGAGACATTTTATTACACTATTTTTGGGCCTCGTCCGCAATTGAGGTGCAGCCAAAAATACTACTCAGTATTAAATTTAGAAGCTTTTTAATCTACCTAAAATCATATATAAAAATTTCCCAAGTTAATTTATTATTAATGGTAATACAGTTTTTATTGTTTTTTCGATTGTAGTATCAAATTTTTTATCACCTGTAAAAGTGTGTAAAAGCTTACAAAATCATTAAACTTTTTTCCTTATATTAACTCATTATCGTATGTTGTTTTTTTACGTATTTTTGATTTCTTTTCGTTCGCCACACATTCTGTTAAATGCACAATTCTTTTTCACGTGATTAATGTATGAACGTTTTTTTTTTATAGTATTTACAAACGGGCCAATTCCATCCAAACTTGGTTGATATTTTTACGATAAATATTTATAAGATAATCGTCAAATATTTTAGTATGATATCTTGATTAAATTTTGAAAGCTTACCTGATGGTAACAGCAATGAGAATAATTATCACACCCACTAAGGCTGTGGCAATTAATACTCCACAAATCATGTAAAGTGTCTCCATTGGTGGATCTGTAAAAATTAAGATCTTATTGAAAAACAGGAAACAATTTAATGGATGATAAGTTTAAATAAATTATAAAATGATTTATGAATGTACCGAAAGTATTATCACATATTTTCATTATAAAAAATATAATAAACAAAATAATTGTTTAAACATAATAAACGCAAAGTAATCACGATAATCTTAGCAGTGACTGTATGGGTTATGCAAAAAGTGGAAAGAAGGAAAATTGAGGCCGGGAGAAAGATATATACATATATTGGTGTTAATTCAAGATAGAAAAAAAAGCAAAAATAAATCTTCTGGTCCTTGATGATGTATATGACTAATGTCTTAGGTTGTTTCATTTCGAATAATTTTTTTATTGTTTGCAAGCAACAAAAGTTAGTCAGTTTATTGCATTATACATGGTTATATCGATAGTATTTACACATAGTCAGAATTCTCTAGTCCAAGGCAAGGTTAGTCATGTCGTGACCTTCCTTTCCCGGATTTGTTCAGGCATGTAACATATGGCAATTCCGAACGAACTGAATAAAACCCGATACGAATGAAGTTGAATGAATAAATGGTCCTGAATTGTCGAAATTTATTTCCAAACGTAGCCGTTTTTATGCTGTTTTGAAAATTAGTTGTAAATATTTATGTTATGTACTCTTTTGTAGTAAATGATTTTAGATTAGCACATAACTAGTTACTGATCACCAAAGCAGAGTCTAATATTAAATGAATCAGTAATTGCACTAGCATTGATAGCTAGTAAGTAATCACTCATTTTTAGTCATTTTTACTAATTTTTCTAAAGATATTACAGTTTTGAAAACAAAAGAGAATTATTTGATTTATGGATTGTTTGATAAGATTAAATTGAGAGATTTACACATCTTTTTCTGATTAATTATTTGTTGAACAATGTGATCGATTGCTCTATATAAAAATATAAAGCAATCAATAATAATATATATGGAGTCTTTTTATAATTGTCTTGATTTGAATTAATATTTCTGTCCTACATCGAGAGGAAAGAGTGAAAAAAAGAAATATACTTTATGTAAGCTGAACTCTTACACACACTATACTCAAAAAATAAAAAGTTGTAACTCTGTATTATTTTCGCATAATTTTATTTTTTGAAATATTTTTTCTAACGTTCTAGTTATCAGAAACATTATTAAAATCAATTTAATAGTTGATGTGAAGAATGACATAGTATCTTTATGCTTAGAGATTCTAAAATTCATTTTGGCTTACTTTTGAAATGATATATGATTTTAAATGTATTTATGCACATGTAAATGAATTATATTTTTCTATCTTTCAACAATGCAAAAAAAACGGTTAGATTCTTGTTACTGCAAAAAATAATTAGAGTCTGGATAAATTTTCGAAGAATAGAAAGTAATGTTTTACTTTTTCTTCCTGAAAGTGTTCGAGAAAGTACTACACACATTGCGAAAATACTGAAATTATTTCAAAATTAATAGATTTATTAAAGGATAATCATTATAATAAAGAAGAAAATAATAATTACTTTTCATTACAAATATGGTTTCAATTAACTACAATGAATAATTATTTTACAAAAAATAATAAAATAAATAAGACAACCAACAACTAGGCACATATTAGCAATAAAGTGTAAACCTGTATAAAGTTTTAAACACTGTTTACTTAAAATAGCATAAATGTGGGTTAGTACAGTTACTGTTCATTAACATAATTTTGATAAATATCGAAGCCCAAGTTTCTTATTACTCTTAAAAAGTTTATAAATTTACGAAAAATTATCAATATTCAATCAAACATATAACGTAATGATTTTTCTTTAAAATTTTAGATTGAAAGTAAGAAATAAAGAAAATAGCAAAAAAAATTCAGGAATAAGATGTAATTTATTTATTAATAATCATAACTGTTCTTATTGAAAAAAGTAAAGGAACAAGCATACCATGTCATGAACGAGGCCTATTATGCTATCAAATATACATCAAAAGCAGAAATCATTTTTTTTCAGAAAGAATAAAATTATCACCATCTATGGAATCTAATGAATAGTTTCAACAAGAATGGGAAACTAATTTTCACTGTTTCTTTTAAAAATGAATTCCTATTCGATACTTTTTATTCTGTTTAATGATAATTCGAAAGACTTGATATATGTTGTTTATATATAAAACTAAAAAACTAGTATCCAGGAAAATAATTAACATTGATGAAATTATTTTGGGATTTCATTCGAATTTTTTTCATACAGACCATGATAAAAACAGCTAACTTTATGCGTAAGTTATAGCCATATTTATAAAACTAAAATTGAAAACTTTAAATACATATGTTTTACTTTTTTTTACTTAAAAACTTTATGATAAGCAAAGAATGGATTGATAATAAAACGAAATATTACTACGACTTATTACGACATTCAATTATGTAAAATCCCACAAGTGTTCAAAATAAACTTTTATCAATCACAATATTATTTTGAATTTTTTCTAGATTATTTATATATTATTTAGCATCTGTCACACATGTCAACAATCCTGAGACAGTTTTAACATTAATTTTATCTTCAGATTAATCTAAAAATACTATCATTAATATGTTGTTTTCAAGTTTTTATTTTGTTATATTTATGAACTTAAATATATAGTTCTGAGGTCGATGAATTCATCATTGTTGAAACATAAAATGTTAGCTAGTAAAGAATTTCATAATATCATTACGCATAATTTTCTGGTTTTTAATTTTAAACATCTATGAATCAATTGACGTAAAGCTTTTTTATTTGTGATATAAATCGCTGAGCAGCAGAATGACGTACAACAATTTTTTATTTTTATTTAAATAAAATTGTAACTTTCTTAATTGGATTGGCACTTACAATCATTCAATATTCGCTGATTTGTTCAAAATAGTAATACATTAAACTTTTTTGAAACTATTAAAAATATTTTAAGAGGCTTTGAAAAGTATTGTACAATTGGTATTGTATTCTTTTCAGAACAAAAATAAATAAATTATTTTTCTCAGAATTAAAAAAATCTTCTTACATAGTTCTCAGTTTGATTATGACAATGTTTCTCTTCTGATTTTCAAAAAAGTCTTAATGTGCCTCTATTTCGAAACATTCTTACAACATAATTCAACTTTTAAAAGTGTACTATTTTAACACGGTTCAAACATTTAAATATAATTTCGTATATTTAATTAACATTATAGTTACTATAAGTATATTTTTAAGTGCGTTAAAAGTTAAGATGTGTGTGCTCATTAAAGCATATTTTTGAAACAGATGTAAACAGTGATTTCAAAATACAATAGTTTATTCATGTACATTTAACAATATCGACACTTAATTTAAATTATTTGAAATTACATAGCTATCTTCTTATTATATACCAATATCGTAAAACTGTAATAATAATGTTGGAAGACGTTTGGAATTAAAATATAAAATCAATTTTTCAAAATATTAATTCTTCAATAAGTTAAAAAACTGTTAATAAATGTCATGAAATGTAAAAAAAGCTTCTACAAAGCATGTATAGTTTGTTTATGGGTATTTTACATTGAATACACTTCACGCGTGTCATTTTAACACGTCTATGAAATCTTTGAATTAGTAGTGTGGACTTTATAATTTTAATGAGAAATTATATTCATTAACTACAATATTGAATATCTGGGTAATTTCTTATCACATGCTTCATCAATTTCACCCTACATTTTTAATTGATTAAAATTTTATCAAGTAATACACTAATAAAAAGAGATGCTGATTTTATGTATGAACTTAAAAACTAAGGAATAAAGCATATTCATTATGGTGATTATTTTTTTTTATTAAAAGACTTTTTGGTATTTGTGCAGATTAATGCATAATATTGTTACATCAATATTCGGTAGTCAGTTACACATAACTCAAATTCTAACAGATAAGCAAGAATAGTTGTTGCTATAATGGCGAGGTTGCTTATTGTTCTCGACTCTATAAAGAAAGGTTAAGTGAACCTGAACTTAATCATGCTTTTTAAGTTCCTCAGAATGTATGTATCTTCACCATCAAGATTTTATTAATTGAAATGTATGAAAATGAAAAGATTGTATTCCATGAGAATGATCTAGATTTATTTGAATTTTATTTTTTTAATTATGTCGACTATCTTTAAAATGGAAGCTCTAAAAGATTTTTAGGTAGTTTAAGATAGCTTTCAGCTTTGCATTAAATAACGATTAAATAAGAATTAACTCCAGAGATATATAAAAATACTCATCAAGATTTATATTGCTATTCAGTTGATGTATTGACGTAATAATATTCTATTTATAAATAAATCTAGATATAGTTAAGCCTAGCGAGAATAAAATTTGAATGAAATGAAACCAGCTGTCTTGCATTTGATGTCAAATAAAATTTGATTTAACTTTCAATAATCAAACTCATCCTCTTAAAGTTAAATAAGGATAAAATGATTTATGATTTGATAAAAATAGTTCTTATCAAGTGGTAATGTTTTATTATATTAAATTGAATAAAAAAATCGTTTATTATCAATTTGCATTGTTGTACAGACAATTACTTTTATTTAAAAACAACTTTGTCAACAAAATGATTTCTTAATCGATAAAGGTCGATGAAATTGATTTTAACTCGTTTCAAAATAATCATTCAAGGTTTGCTAAGTTAATAATACATGAATTTACTTTTTTTAAATTTATTTTTAACGTCTTTTGTTCTTTATTCTTAACATATTGCGTCTTATAAATTCAACACTCATAAAAAAATATGTAAAAAAGAAACATGAAGATCGATTCTATTAACCAACTCCAACAAATTAATCATAGTTCACTGTAATAAATTTTTAATTCTATTTTATTATTGAGTTAATTGTTCTCAATATTGTGTAATAATTATATAAAATGTGTGTTTTTTTCTTTTCATAAATAAAGTCAGTACTGATACATATAATCTTAAAGTCTAGACTCAAGAAAGAATGATGAAAAA